TCTGCCAGTGACAAGAGAGCCAGCTGGATATAGAAATCATGACATGTTCTGGGAATTCCATTTTTCCCAGTAGGTATTTTGAAGGTTTGAAGGTCAGGCCATGTAAAATTTCTCTCTTTCTCACAAAGCTCAGAATGCTTTTGATGCTATTTAGCACAGTGAAGTTGAACAGATTGTTTTGGGGACTTTGAGGGCCATTCTTCCCACAGGGAAGCAAATGTTGCCTAGTGATCTACATCTTAGCACAGAAGTCAGTAGCTCTAAGTTCTAATAATGACTCTGTTTGGTGTCTGTTTCCACGATCCTTAGCAAGTCCCTTAACACTTCTATATCTCCACTCCCTTCCCCCAGTAAATGGGGAGAAAAATAATGGGTGATAAGCACCCAGGGACATGGCAGAGTGAAAGGGTATGAAGGACTGGGATCCATAAATAAATGTCGAGTTAAAAAAAATTGCCAGTATAAATCTGCCTTTAAATCAACCCATGTTTTCAGACTGGAAAGTCACACTATTTAAATACAAGCTGCCTCCCCAATGCCCCTTCTGAAAGTAAAATAAGCTGACTCTATGAGGCTCTGTTCAAATTGTTCCCTTTCCAACAACTGCATGTTTCTCTCTAAACATTCTGTTCATTCTTTGGTTAATGGCTAAGAAACCATCAAAGTTTCCATTTTCACTTGATTAAAAGCAGTTCATGTATCTGTGGGTAAGAAAGAAATAGACAAAGGAAAGAGAAATTACCTACCACTCCCTTCACATCAATAATTCAAATAAAACTAAGTTGGACAGCTGGCCCTATCGAAGGTGATGAAGTCAGCTCATCAGAAACATCTCAACAATAATCTTACTGGCAGCAGTGGCAGCAGTTTCTTCTCCTTCTCCTTCTTCTATTACTACTACTACTACTACTATTATTATTATTATTATTTTGTGACCCAAACTCAACATTGTGCTGCTTTAGGAGAATGCTGACTCATTATTAACGGAAACTGTACATATTCATTCACCCATTTATTTACTCATTCAAATGTTTTCTGAGTCCTTATTAAAAATCAGGTAATCTGCTGGAGATAAAACTGATTCACAGGCCCTGCCCTCTAAGATTTTTTTTTAGAGGAAAAATACATATTTAAACATCATAAACAAACATGCAAACACAGCAAAACAATGTGATAAACTATAGAGACCCAAATGCCATAAGAACACACAGAAAATTAGACATAGTGAATAAAATTATCTATAGCCTTAAGAAGTTCAAAGAAGAGATTCCAGTGAGAATGCAATATGACTGGTAAATAAAGAAAAAATATTTAACTAGATACTAAGATGTCCTATGAGAAAAGAATTAAATTGGGAGGTGGTTGAACATAAATTATGTCAAGGTTTTTCCACATGGGATCATGGATGGGTTTAAGAAGATCCAGGAATTATATGAAATATCTGTATATGCAAATGGACATTTTTCTAGACACAAACGGCACAGCCTTCATTCTAGTCTCAAAGGTAAAGAACTCTCACTAGGATCTTATCCCCATACCCAGTTTTCTGCCTCTACTCAGACTAGGTTTTGGTAGTCCAGAGGTTACAGTAGAACTTCTAAGCTTTCTATATCTTGGTGAAAAATAATGCTTGCTAAAAAGGAGGGTAATGCAAACAGCTAGAACATCCTCCTTTCCATGTTCTAAGTGAAGTTAGCCCAAATATATTTACATATATTCAAACCATGATGATATGTATCATATAAACAGGTGGCACCAGGGAATAGGTCAGTGCTTGTATTTGTATAACCAACAGTAGGAAAAGTGTATCAGGCAGAACTGAACACTCAACTAACACAACTGGCTCCTCCTAAACCACAGACTACTCCTAGGAATTCACTATGGGAATTTGGGGGACTTCTGGCAATCCTCCCAATAACAAAGAGCAACTATAGTCAAAACAACACAGGAATAAAAATCAGCACTCCAAGTACAGTGATGAAAACACCTATGTTATAAATGACAAAAGGCATTTGGACTCTAGCTGACTGCTTCATAGAACCCCACAGACTTCTGCGTGTCCAATCTAACTACACATGCCTTACAGCCTTATTTATAAATAAAATTCAATTACACATGTATGGGCAAGGATATACCCACACAAATTTATTTGCCATGGTGAGTTTCACACACTTCCCTCAAATCCAGAAGTCTACAAGGCAAAGAAAGAAAGAAAACATGGGCATTCCAACATATGAGATGTAGTGCCAGCCAAGGAGTGGGTGGATCCACCATAGCCACACTTGTATTCACTGAATGCAATATTATACATTATTATGAGCTCTAACTGCACTGGATATAGCATTGTATTTTGCAGCTTTCCTTAACACCTGCTACTCTTCATCTCACTGTACACTCCATGTATGAACACATGGAACCAAGACTCCAGGAGGGCTTACTCAGTGTATACAAAAAAAAGGAGCTAATCTCACTTGGCAGAGAATTCTAATACAAATATGCCTTATGAACAAGCACTCATACAGACCTCACTAATGACACTCACACCTCCCTTAACCCATTAAGGACTTTAGAACACTAACCAATCAGTCCTGAAAAAGCACATGATTACAAACAGCTGAGTAAGATGGAAAGCTTGTGAAAATATAAAAGTAAGCCAACACAGGAAAAAGAATGGTCATTTTCACAAGTTACTAGCCAGAATGGTGCTAGGAGTCAGAAAAGATAAATACAACAGACATTTTTAAATTTCTTTAAAAGTCAAGCATCTGTTTCAATAAAAATGCATTTCAGAGCTTATATAAAAGTAAAATGTATAACAACAAACTGCAGCACAAAGCATAAGAGAGATGGTTCATAATGACAAAAGGGTCAACATCAAAAGGACAGGGAATATGATAGAGGTAGGAGAGCAACAGGAAGCTTCAGGACCTGAGGGAAACAGACCAGGGCAATGTAGAGAGCAGTATGGAAAAGACAATGAAGACAAGACAAATGAGGAAGAGGACAAAGAATGATGAGGATGGGAGAAAAGCCAGACTGAGACAGAAAGGAAAGAAAATAGAACAAAAGAGCCAGTAGAGTGGCTCAAATGATACAGCTCCTACCAAGCAAGTATGGGGCTCCGAGTTCAAAGCCCAGTACCACCCCCCACCAAAAAAAAAAAAAGAAAAAAGAAAAACAGAAGAGAATCAGAAACAGCAAGCAGAAACACCACCATAACCACCAATTATTCAGTGTTACGATGTGTAACTTCATCCCAATTACAGACATACACCATTTGCACTTGTTGTCTTGTAACTATACCAAATATACAGATTTGCATCACTTTCTGTCTCTTTCTCTCTCTGTGTCTGCCTCTCTCTCTGTCTCTGTCTGTCTCTCTGCCTCTCTCTCTCTCACTCTTTCTCATACTAGGGATTGAATTCAGGACTTTGTGTTCACTACCTAACTATGCATTCCACACCCCAAGTCATTGTGCAGTAATTTAATCTAGACATTTAGAGCCCCACAATCGTACTGCTACTACTATCCATAGGCAACAATAGGAGTTCTTGAAAATCAAAAAGAATTCCTGCTACTTGAGAGGCTAAGACTAGAAAGATAGCAGTTCAAGGCAAACAGTTTGCGAGACCCCCATCTCAACAAATAGCTGGGTGAGGTAGCAAGTGCCTGTCATCCAAGTTAAGACAAGAAGCCAAAAATAGGACCCAAGGTCCAGGCTGTCCAGGCAAAAAGCCAGAACTTATCTCAAAAATAACTACAGCAGGGGCCTGGAGACATAGAGCAAGCACAAGGCCTTGAGTTCAAACCCCAGTACCACCAAAATAATAGTAATAATAATTGTCACTTCCTAAGAAATTCTACTAACTTTAATCATTTCAATCTCTCTTCAACTCTTCTGACATTCCCTCAATCTCAAACTCTCATACAACCATACTCTTAAAATACCAAATGCCACTATCACCAATTAGTGTGATTATCCTACTCCCCCTTCACCACACAGGCAGTAATTGTGAAAAACTTGCTAATCCAATAATTAAAGATCTCTACTTCCCATTATGGAAGACTAAATTTAGAAAGCCAAATTAGGCTGAGAGGAAAACATGTGTCACAACAAGTGAGACGAATTCCATGGAAGGGGGCTGGGTCACTGGCCTGTTTCTTATAAAGCCTCTGACACTAACACATGCTCCTCTGCTGAGAATTCAGAGAAACTCTCCCATGGGTGGGGCAGCCATTCATCGCTATAATCATTTGAAGCTGATGACTGTATCATCAGGTCACAAAAGCCACAGGACCTATCAGCAAGCAATGCCTCAGAGAACATGTCTCCTCTCCTTTCCTGAAACCTCCAATTTAGTCACACAAAAGAAAAGGGTGGCAAGCCAGCATTAATTGTACCCTTAGAGAAGAGCCACTTTCTACCTGCAGGGATGGCAATGACTTTACTGGGCTACCAAGTGGATATAAGACAAAAGTAAACACTATAATTTGATGTTTTGTCTCTGGCACAGGGGGAGTGGTACAATTCACACTGTCTGTAAACAGTAATAATGCCAGATGTAACACAAAGAACAGGATTCCCTCCATCTCTCCACCCCTATCCTTACCCCCTCTCCCTATGACATTCCTCCTGAGATTATTCATCTTGGGGAAATACACAGAAGTTTCCCTATAGTCCATATGCTGCTACCAAATGGAACCAAGTGAGAATCCAAGTTTGTACTGACTCTTCCTATCTCACTATTACACAGAGGAAGACTCATTGGAACTCAAGAAATATTCAATTGTTTGTATTAGAGAGAAAATGTGATGTAGATATGTGACATGCCAAACTCTGTATTAGAAAAATGCTAAAATGTCAAAACAAATTAAAAAAAGACAAAAATTATAAATGAAAATAGAAGCATCCTAAACAAACTACAAGGTTAAAAAATCTGCCTACCTAGGCGCTCATAAAAAGTATAGAGGAAAAGAGATGAACTCAGAGGGAAAGTTACCTGACCAGAGTTCCCGCCAGGTGTAATGCAGGCGAACTCTACACTTCTTCTGGTAACAAAGCAGTTTATGAACTACCTGAATGCAGCGTCTGTAACAAGAAAGGGAAAAACTGGGATAAACATAAGAATGCACCACAGATACTCTTTTCTTTAGTGAGGCAGCTTTGCAATGGCCACAAAAGACACTGGATATACATATGTACAAATGTAAAAGAAAAGGACTTAAACCCTCAGCTTCTCTGGTAGTTAGATCTCAATCTATCTATCTCTCACTCACAATGCTTGCATACCCAGTTCCCTTATCAATGGAAAACTGGGTTACAGCCATTTAGAGGTCAGTAGTCAGTTAGGTACTACTGATACCTTTCTCCTGAGTATCTTTCCAGGGCAGAAAGGAAGGAAAGATGTACCATATTACTCCATTGAAAATAACATGCATAGGATGCAAACACAAAATTAAGACCTTAAATCTCTAGATATAATTTAATTTAAAATAAACTTTAATTGTAACTAACTTAAATTTTATTTATATTAAAAGTTAAATTAAAAATTCAATTCCTCAGTGAACCACAGAATTACATAACAGCTACCACATGAACAGCACAAACATATAAAACTGTTTTTTTTGGCAATCCTGGTGTTTGAACTCAGGGCCTTGCACTTAGGAGGCAGGTGCTCCATCACCTGACCTTGCCTCCACACCCCTTTTGTTTTAGTTATCTTTTTTTTTTCTTAGCATATTACTCTTGTTTACCAGGGTTTAGTTATCTTTTGAATGGGGTCACACATTTATGCCAGGGGCAGCCTGCACTACAATACTCCTATTTACACTTTCTGCATGGCTACCATGTCTAGCTTTTATTGGCTGAGATGGAGTCTTGTGAACTTTTTGCCAGGGCTAGCCTTTAATCATGAGCCTCCTGATCTCTGCCTCCTGAGTAATGAGGCTTACAAGTGTGTGCTACCATGCCTCGCTTGTTTATGTTTTTGGAATTAGGGTCTCACAATATAGTCCTGGCTGATCTCAAGCTCACAATCCTGCCTCAGCCTCTTGAGTGCTTGAATCATTGGCATGCACTTCCACAACTAGCTTAAATAATTTTTAAAAAGAAAGCCTAAAAAGCCTTAGATGAGATTATAAAGGAAAATACTAATAAAATTTACTTCCAAAATTATAAATCTTTTGTTTGAATTTTCAATTTTTTGATTTTTTAAATATATTTTTTGGTGGGACTAGGATTTGAACTCAGGTCTTTGAACTTGCAAAGCAGGCCCAATATGGCCCAAGCCACAACTCCAAGTCCACTTTGCTCTGGTTATTTTGGAAATGGGGTCTCACAAAGTATTTGCCTGGGCTGGCTTTGAACCTCGATCCTCCTGATCTCAGCCTAGGATTACAGAAGTGAGCCACTAGTGCCCAGGATTAATAAAAAGAAAATAGTAAGAAAATAACAAATAAAAAAACTAAAAGGCAACAATATGGGAAATTACATTTGGAACAAATGACATAAGATTATTATGCTTAATATATAGAAGTTTATAGAAATTTATGATAAAAATAGTTATACCTCCAAATTTTAAAAATAAACAAAGGAAACAAAGCAAATTCCCCCATCTCCCAAAAAAGGGAAACATGAAAATGAACATTTTTCTGTAATGTTCAACTTCACTTTTAAAAAGCATATTAAAATAACACTCTAATTTTTGCATATAAAATTAGTATAGATTTAATGCTGACAAAGGAACAGCATTTAAAGAAAAGTTACAAACAATCATGGAAAGAATGTCCCACGCTGGAAGAATAGTAAGCCAATCATTACACAGATGTTATAGACTGAATTGTGTTCCTGACAATTTAAAGTAGAATTATAAATATACTTTAATTCCTCTAGCTGGAGTCTTTAGCAATCACCCCACAGAGGGAGGATAGCAACATTCCTTATGCTTTCTTCTTTAATCTCTGCTAAAAGTTAATCTAAGTTCTCAAGGTCGTCACTGTCAATTTTAAAATCTAGTTCATGTTTCTTTATTTTTGTCAAAGGGGTAAAAAATCCAAATAGAAACAAAAACCTTTGCTGTGGTAAGGATGAAGAAAAACTGGAAGGAACCCTTAAGTATCAGTGTTAGGAATGTAAAAAGGTAGAAAACACCTTAGAAATCGTTTGGAAATTTCTCAAAATATTAAAAAAGGTTACCATACAACCTAGAAATTCCAGTACCAGGTATACATACAAAAAAAACAAAAGCATATGTTCATATAAAAATATGTACATGCCAGGTATGGTAGCTCACATCTGTAATTCCAGCAGTAGGGAGGTAGAAGCAGGAAGACTGAAAGTTTGAGGCCAGCCAGTGCTACACAGCAAGACCCTGTCTCAAAAAAAAAAAAAAAAGAAAACAAAAAATCTTGTACACACAGAAGCATTATTAATTATTCAAAAGGTATAAACAATCCAAATGTCTACCAACTGATGAGTCAGTAAGTAAAAGGATGCAGTACATTCATACAATGAAATATTAATCAGCCATAAAAAGAAACAAAGCACTGCTACATGTTACATCATGGATGGACCTTAAAAACATGCTAAATAAAAGAAGCTAGTCACAAAAGGCCATATATTGCATGATTTATACAAAATGTCCAGGATAGGCAAAAATACAGGGATTGAAAGTACATTCATGCTGCCTAGGCCTGGAATAGAGTACACAGCTGGGGAGATATGCTGAATGACTACTAACAGGTAGGAAATTTCTTTATGGGGGTTGAAAATGTTCTAAAATTGGATTATGATGATTGTACAATTCTGTGACTATACTGAAACAATTAATTGTATATTATAAATAAGTGAACTGCACAACATATAAGCTGTATCTCAATAAAGCTTTTGTAAAAATTGTGGCCTAGGATTTCCAAATTGTCAGGAAACACAAGTTACAGTTCACACAGCAATGTTAATTTAATACATTCTAGAGCTAGGTGTGTTTGGATTCCTGATTAAATATCTACTTTGACATTCAGCCTGCACTGTGTGTATAAATTGCTGCCCTTCATTTGAGAGCATTAGTTTTTATTTTATTTATTTTTTCCTTTCTTTCTTTTTTATTATTTTTATTTATTCATTTATTTATATGTGCATACATTGTTTGGGCCACTTTCCCCTTATTTTAGTTTTATTAGGTTTTCATTTTCACTTTAAATTTTAAAATTCAATGTTCAATTAACTAGGATCTCAGCCATTACAATTACTAGTCTTTGGAGGTCACTAAACTGCCTAAAACACAATGTCTTAATGAACTCCAGTTTCTATGTCTCACTCTGTCATATATTCTCACTGTACTACAAGTACTTAATTAGGATAGTTAAGAAAGGGTTAGGCAGACATAGGTCCAGGGCTTGGATAGTTCCCTCTCGAACTCTAGGCTCATCATACAAACCAAAAAATCATAAGAAATTGTCAGCCCTATCTTTTTTGGGTTTTTTTTGAGACAAGGTCTTGCTACATAGCCTGAGCTGACCTTGAGCTTGCAATCCACCTGCCTCTGCTTCCCAAGTGTTGTGAATGCAGGTGTGTGCCACCATACTTGGCTTAGAGCTATCTTTTTTTTTTTTTTTTTTTAATGCATTCAACAAATATTGACTGAGCTGGAGCTTAAATCTTATTACAACTGAGTAGTAAAGTTCCTAGAAAACTGGACCCCAGGTAACCTGCTAGTTTCAGGCAAATAAAAAGGGTTCTTCCTCTTGAAACTGTTCAAACATGAAAAAATGAAGCAGAGAAAGCAAAAATAGATGAGACCAATAAGCAAGGTAAAAGGACACAGAAAAAAAAGACTCAACTTTTTTTCCTAATATTTACATCAGTTTTAAAAAAAAAAAAAAATCTTGTGGTGGGCCAGGTGCCAGAGGCTCACATGTGTAATACTACCTACTCTAGAAGCAGAGATAGGAGGATCACGGTTCAAAGCCAGCCTGGGCAAATACTTTGAGAGACCCTATTTTGAAAATACCCAACACAAAACAGAGCTGGTGGAGTAGTTCAAGTGGTAGAAAGCCTGCCTAGCAAGCATGAGGCCCTGAGTTCAAACCCCAGTACCACCATAAAAAAAAAGAAAAAAAATTTTTGGCGGGACTGGGGTTTGTCCTCAGGGCTTTGCATTTGCAAAGCAGGCACTCTACTGCTTGAGCTACACCTCCAGTCCATTTTGCTTTGGTTATTTTAGAAAAGCGGTCTCGAGGACTATTTGCCCAGGCTGACCTCAAACTGTGATCCTCCCAATCTCAGCCTCCCAAGTAGCTTGGATTGCAGGTATGAGCCACTGGCGCCTGGCCAAAGGTGGCTCTTCTTTACTTTGTTTAATTTCTATAACTCTTCTAACATGCCCAAGTACAATTCAACTGAATAGCAGCTTCAAGGAGAGGATATTTCTGAGGTAGGGTTGAGAATCTCTCAGGTTCTGTGGTTTTAATGTGAGATAAAGAGTATCCTGAGACCCTACTTACTTCAGCAGACACAATATTCATCTGTGAGTGCCAATCAGACAGTTCATGGAATCACATTAAATTAGGGGTACCTATTTTCTTGGGACTCTTAGAAAGGGGGAAAGAAAAAAAACATTACTAACCTTCCTCTGAGAGGCAAGATCCAAAGACATGAGCTATAAGAATTAAATGGCCTAATAATATACCAAAGACACAAATGAATTGAACTAAATATATAAGCTAAAGTCCTAAAATTACTTTTTTCTGGCAGTTTTCAGAATACTCTAAATAAGGGACTCCACTGCTACCTTATTAGCCCCTTCTACCTGCTCCATCATTCATTTCTGTTTTTCTTATTCCCTGTAACTCCAAGTGGTCTTTAGGACCCTCTGAGATAGGATTTAATGAAAGAACTACGTAACAAGTCTCATAAAAGACTTCAATATCTTCAGCAATGATATTAAAATACTTCAAATCCATACAAAAATATAAAGTAACATATAAATCAATCCATACATCAAAAAATTTTAAATAATTCCCTTTCATTCTCTAATCTATCCCAAAACTGCTCACCAAGTGATGTAAATTCCAATAAAGCATTCTAACAGTCACCAAATAATTGATTTTTAGAAACTGTAGCATGATCTCCTGTTTGATGCAATTGCCATTTGCTAAATGATGCCTTGGTTTGATCCATGATTTGCCTTAGCCCTATATAAACTCCTCTATCAACTTCATGAAACTGACAGTCATTAGGTCTTAGTCATTAGGTCCCTGTAGCTTTGCTGCAGCCAGCAAGGGTGGCTAGATGTTTCCCATACATGACTAAACATGCACAGCATATACCTGGGTGCCACCATCTCTCACATGACCAGGATCCAGACAGCCTGCAATGGCCCCTGATGACAGTGGCATCTACCAGCACTGAGCCTCTCCAGAGCATCACTGCAATGCTACCTATATCCCCAAACTCTGCTGCCATCACTCTCTGCTTCAAAAGCTATACACATCCACTCCAGCTCTGGTCCTAGGCTCCATTGCTGTCTCCACAGTCACCCAACAGGCGCCACTATTAGCCTTGTGTTCTCAATAACTCATACTGTGTTAAGCAAAATGATTTTTTTTTTTTTTTTGCAGTACTGGGGTTTGAACTCAGGGCCTCAGTTAGCACCTTGTTAAGCAGGTGCTCTACCACTTGAGCCACTCTGTTTTGTGTTGGATATTTTCAAGATAGGGTCTCTTGAACTATTTGCTGGGGGCTGACTTCTAACCACAATCCTCCTAATCTCTGCCTCCTGAGTAGGTAGGATGACAGATTTGAGTCACCGGCATCTGGTTGATTTTGTGTATATGTGTGTGTGTCCTTTTTTCTTGGTGCTGGGGATTGAACTCAGGGCCTTGCACAAGCTAGGCAAGTGCTCTACCACTGAACTACATCCTAGCCCAATAGAAACTGTTATGTCCTTAAAAATATATACAGGCAGAATGACTCTATAAATGTACAGCTTCTTGGAGTATTTGTTTTATGCATGCAGTGGTTTCCTGTTTCAACCCAAGACCATTCAGCTTTCTCCTGAGATCTTCTTATAGGAGCGCTCCTAATATTCTTGATTAGGACCCAGTGAAATCTATACTTCTTTTCTGGTGCCTACCCACAGGTTTGGGACTATATGACTTAACAAGAGTCCAAGCTAGCTATGTAATTCTAGTCCTTGAGAGGCAAATGGGAGGATTACAAATTTAAGGTCAGTCAAGTTTTCCACATAAGAGTAACTTTAAGAAGAGTTTATTCTCCCCAAAGACCACTTGTCTGTTCCAAGTCTTGTGACACCAACAGGGGTGGGCAGCAAGTATCAAGTAGTAAAGCCAAGAATGGAAATTAATTGGATGGGTTTTCCTCCCTCTTCTTGCTCCAAGCAAGATTTTCTTTCTTTAGTTTTCTTTTATTTTTAGTATAAGTATCTTCTTTCATCATTACTTTACCTACAACATTCATACACAAATATGAAACTATTTCACTCCTGACCCAGATTCTGGCCTTAAGTATTAAATGTTTCCATACTCCTTATTTCTTCATATTTCACCAGGAGGATTATAAACTTATCTGAAATGGCAGAAATTCATTTTGCTTTCAATTTCTCATTGGACTGTATGCTGCTGAAAAGCTGTATATAATGAGAAGTTAGAACAGCAACCTGGCCTCATGGCCAACTGAGAGCAGATTAAGATCACCTAAAAAGGACTGGGTGCTCCAAATATCAAAAACTGGAAAGGGAGCTGGAAATGGGGGAAGAAAGATCTGGAAACATGCCCATGGGTAGTAATGAAGAAAGCAAATTCATCCTGAAGGTGAGACCTTCTGCCTGGCCTCTGTCATTTTGATGCCTCATTATCTTCCTCATCTCCCCTAACCTCAGAACATTCAATTGGGAGCAGGTGGAAAAAGAACCTAAGAAAGCAAGGCAATACAAAAACTCTTGAGGATGAAGTTAGAAACTAGGGAGCAGGGGTGGAATTTACAGGACAGTTAAGGTAAGCCAGTTCACTAACTGGGAATGTAAAGGGTGGGTAGACAGACACATCCCTGCAATTCTACAGTTCTGAACACACAATCTCAGTGTGTTACTCCTCACCTTCAACTGTTCCCCATTATCCACTTAAGTCTCAGGCAACCTTTTATTCTACTCTTACCCTTCCCCCCCCATGTTATATTTCCAAGCTTCTAAAACCCTGAAAATGATCATGCTGGTTTCCTACCTGGTATGTCCTTCCCCACTCTTCCACATAGAAAACTCCAGGGTTTGGTCATGACTAAAGTCAAATGCAACTTTTCTGATATCTTTCTGATGTCCCATCAGTATAGTCACGCTATACGAATCTTTCCTTTGTTACTTATCACAAAAGGATTAACAGTATAGCCTTTGAGGTCAGACAGAAGTGAGTATGAATCTTGGTTATATAATGTACTAGCTGTACAACTATGGTATCAGCATGTAAGATGGACCCCAATAATCCTAACATCCTGGTATTCACATCCTTTGTCTCAGTCTGTTTTGTGTGGCTATATAAAATACTATAGACTGGGTAGTTTATAAAGAAAGAATTTATTCCTCACAGTTCTGGAAACTGGGAAGTCCAGTAACAAGGAACTAGGATCTGCTGAGTTTCTTCTATGCAGCACCCTATAGTGGAAGGTGGGAAGGCAAGAGCATGTGGGCACTTAGATGCACATGCACAGATAAATGTGCATAAATGGACAGAAAGAGAGAGGAAGGGATGGAGGAAAGATAAAAGGAGGGGGTTGGTGGAGTGGTTCAAGTGGTAGAGCACCTGCCTAGCAAGTACAAGGCCCCTACTCTACATGCAGGAAACCAAGACTATATATAGTCTATAAGCTTTCCAACTGATCCTTAAAAGTAGTTCTTAAAGAGCAAGGATTTGTAGAAAATGTGATAGGTTACAAACTGAGCTTAAGTATAGTTTTCATTCCTTTTTCTTTATACTTTTATCAGGATCAGTATGCCAATGCATTTTTATATGATGACAACAAGAAAAAAGGACACACACACAGGTCTGCCACTGGAATACAGTATACCAAGCTTCCTGTGTACCAAACTGCTCTCCTGCCCCCTAAAAATGGAGGTACCAATTCTGTTGTCAGACATAACTGAACTACTTTTGAAGAAAGAAAAACACACACATTTGAAAGCACACTAATATGGCACAGCTGTTTTAGGGTATAAAAGAGAAGAGTGAAGCAGCAGCAAAAGAGAGAGAGAGAAAAATCAAAAGTCTAAATTTTATAAAACATGCTTTTCTGTTGCCTCTAGCTGTCCTCATTATAAAGAATTGCAATGGATAATCAGATTTCCTTAGGAGGCAGGAATCTCCCAGCTAGGTCACTGGAGACATAATCTGTCTGACTACTTTGATGCTAAAGCCCAGAGACAATTAAATAATGTGCTAATGTTGCATATCTTTAGATTACAACAGTGCCTTATGATCACTGCCTCAAGGCATCTGCCTGGATCTTCATGCAATGTGCCTAAAACTGGTACAAAGATATGTACAAAATTCAAACTGTGCTTTATACTTTTTCCCCTTCTGAAAAGTTATACAAAAATGTTCCCTGATATTTTTTCACATACAAATGTGTTTTTCTTGAAGGAAAGCATATATAGACCACAAATTTTCTATCATTTGGTCTTTAAAATAGATTTGTACATATTAAATAAACCACGATACTTACACATAGAGATCCATAGGAAATTCTTTCATCATGTGTGTTACAATAAACTCTACCATCAAGTCTAAGAAGGGAAAAGAGAAAAATCAGATCAAACCAGAATGAAATTCATTCCTTACCTTCAGTGTAGTTTCTGAAAACTACACTCTACACTCATGTTAAATGGCAGCCACTACCTACATCTGTATTCAACAAGTACTTTATTTTGTATGAGACACTTTTTGCAACACTGTTCACTACTTGCCACTTGTAAATTAACAAACAAAATATTTCACTCTCTACTTCCAGAGGACTGTCAATAAATTCGGATACAAGGGAAATTTCATTGTACAGATATTTCATACCATGGCACTAATGCAAAATGCCAAGAGAGACATCATACTCTGAGACAAGAACAATGAGACAAGCAGAAAAGAAATTATGGATCACATCCATGTAACCAGAGATTCAACTCTAAAGCTTTGTCAGTCTATTCCATCTCACTGTTATGCTATTTGACAGATATTGACTGAAATGGTCTGTGGGGTTTTGGGTCAATAGAGCTCACTATATAGTCTTAATTACTATTTCTAAAATCAAGTAGATTTAGGATCTGAGGTTGAATATCCAAGTGAAAATAGGATTAAGAGTTCCACAAATTCCCCTAAGGAAAATACAGAATTCAGGGCAGACAAGATTACCCAAGATGCAGTTCCTACTTGTCATCTGTCACTCCCATCTCAGCTTAATTTACTCAGGGGAAATTTTGTATGTTTGAATCTGAATCTTGAACTTCAAGTCTCTTGACCACCTGACACATCAATTTGGATCATGAAAAGGAGGTAAAAATTTGAATTTTGATGAAGAGTAAGATATTTTACAAATATAAATCATGTATCTAAGCCAGGCACCAGTGGTCATGTCTGTAATTCTTACTTGGGAGGCTGAGATCAGGAAGATCTTGGTTTGAGGCCAGCCTAGGCAAATAATTCTCTAGACCCTATTTCCAAAATAACCAGAGCAAAATGGACTAGAGACATGGCTTAAGCAGTAGAGTGCCTGCTTTGCAAGCATGAAACCCTGAGCTTAAACACCAGTACCACCAAAATAAACAAACTAATTAAATACATAAATGAATAAATTATGTATCTAGTTTAAACATAAGTCAGTTGTATCCCTGGAAAGATTTTTTTCTTTGAACAGCAGCACACTTTTATTGAGCATTCAATTCATTGGGTTTGCTTTACAAAACACAACACAAAACATGGTTTCTTAAGCCAAGGAACAAACAAACATAAGTAATAACTTCTCTCAGGAAAAAGTGTATCAACCAGATCCTGATCACAAAAACCTGCCTCAGAAAAATGTCAATTGTGGCAATACTCACCCAATACTGCACACACTAAAGGACGACAGGGAAGGTTCTTGTCTGCTGCCTTCTTTCTGTGTCTCATAGGCTTCACATACATACAAAGAAGAAATGAAATTAGCAGATACACAAACTCATATACAATGGCTTATCATGTTTTTGATGCAAATAAAATCATTACTACAAAGATGCTACCTTTTCTTTCTCTTTTTCTAGTGGTGGGGGTAGGGTGGGGCAGGGAAGACATAAATGCTTCTGTTATCAATGCAGGCCTGCGGCAAAAATATAATTCATAGTGAGGCAACAGTGCCAAAGGGCACTGGTGCATAGTACAACAGGAAAGCTGCTGTTTTTACTTTCATTTTACCTATACTGTACAAATGGTGTTTTTAATGGTGCTGGGGAATGAACCCAAGGCCATACACATACTAGGCAAGCGCTCTACCACTGAGCTACATCCATAGCCCTCAAGTGGCATTGTCAGCAACAAACAAGGTATACTGGTATTTTTCTTTGATAACAAAATAATAATTAAGAAAAACAAGAGGAGGTGATGGTGTTAACTATAGAGTCAAGAATAGTAGTAGTTGCAGAACACAAAAGTTAAGTTTCAAATCTAAACCTCACTGTGATATTTTTTTAATATACTTCCAACCTTTAGGATATTCACTAATCTTCCATATTCTATTTACACCACTTCTCAGTGAATAAATCAAAGCAGCACCTAGTCTTAGTCAACCAAAAATCACACTACAATTTGAAGACAAAAGGCATCAGCCTGTCTCTTTGTTGAGATTGGTGTTATCAACACATTCCAATATTACTGCAATGGCTATATTGTAGATCCTTCTATTCTCTCTTGAACAAAACATAGCTTCATGACACATGAAAAATTCCAAGGGCAGGCATGGGTCTGCTGAACAGCAGGCATGCATGAGCCCTTTTGACACAACTTTTCATCCATATTTATTCCCAAAAGATTAATTTCATCCCAACCCTACCAATACACAAAAAATATCCTCTAAGAAAAAGCATGAAGCAAAAGTGACACATACCATTCTATGTAAGTTTACTCGAAAATTCATGTTGTCATCATGTAAAAATGCATTGGCATACTGATCCTGATAAAAGTATAAAGAAAAAGGAATGAAAACTATACTTAAGAAGCTCAGTTTGTAACCTATCACATTTTCTACAAATCCTTGCTCTTTAAGAGCTACTTTTAAGGATCAGTTGGAAAGCTAATACAATGAGCTTTGATCCTTTAAATCAAACCCTACTTAAGACATAACAGTTTATTTGGGTATAATTTCAAAATATATATTTAACTGGTCAAAAATCTCTAAGAAAAGGTTTGAGAAGAATCAATTTAGAAAGTAACACATATGTACATGGAAGCAATACTAGGAATCTCCCTATATAGCTATCCTTACCTCAACCAGCAAAAACTCCTGGTCCTCCTTATTAATGTTTATACTCTCTCTTCAACAAAATTGAGATAAGGGCAAAACAGTTTCTGCCTGGAAGCGAGGGGGTGGGGGGGAGAGGAAGGGGGTAAGGGGAAAGGAGGGGATGGGGGGGAGGGGGGGTAATGACCCAATCATTGTATGCACATATGAATAAAGGAAATAAAAAAAAATCTCTAAGAAACTTAAAAACAATAAAAATTAAGATCCAGAGACTTGAGGCAAATGCTGAAAGGAATCTGTTTTCCTACTCCCTCTTCCTTTCCATCTGCCCAAGAAGTCAGCTGTGTTTGTGACAGCTTGAAGGTTTTCATAGGGACTGCAGGATCCATGTGCAGGCACCACATGAGCCTCTAGGAATAAGAAAAAAGGTCTATACTCTGCTGGAAATGAGCTCAACACATCAGGAAAACAACTGCTACACAAGCAGCACAGAAGCAGGCAAGACTTTGTCTATCCCTGGCTTTGCTTAAGACTGATGGAAAAGCAAAACCATCTCATGGTAGATTGACAATAAATATCCTGTGACCCTTTCCCAATACCTTTTCTAAAGATCTGACACTGGAGATCTACAGACTCCAATTACTAGGAACTGTTACAATTTGTGAAAAACCTCTTTTAAAGATTTTCTTTGAAAGATTTTTGAGAAGTAATTACTCCAGGCCCTCTGCTAATAAGTAGCACTTCTGTAACCAGCTGCCTCTAGCCTTGTGAAAAAGAAGTTATCTTCCCACAGAGAACATAAAAAAGGAAAGTGTGAGAGATCGCTACTCCACGTGGACCACTTTGACTATTTTTTTAAGAGAGAAAGACATAGAGTAAGGAATACCGAAGGGGGAGGTTGAAGCTATAAATTTAACTCTAAACTCTCAAGTTCTGTAATATTTATGTGTCACCAAGATCCACTGTGAGTTCAAGTCTAATTCATCCAGCTAAAAGTGCCTTCTCACAAAGCTGAAGCAGCTCTTCTTTTTTCCCCTCAGCTCTTATTCTCCAAACTGCAATCATTCCCGTCTGGATTTTCTCTTTACCCCTCTACCACCAACAAATCTGAGCAACTTTTTAATTCTACTAAATACAAAAGATTTGACATGAGCAGTTTCAAAGGGGAAGGATAAATTTTCTCAGAATTTTAAGTCTTTTGCTTAAAACTCTTAAGAATAAGAAACTTCCAGTTCTCAACTATAGCATTATCATATCACAATTCACTATTAATCTAGTAAATGCTGATTGAGCCCGAACTATGTGCCAAACAATGAGAACAAAGTAGTGAAGGCAACAAAGCCCCTGCTATCAGAGCTTATATTCTAGAGGGAAGAGACAGTAAAAGGGGAGAAATTTTAGGACCCTAAAAGTCATGAATCAGAAGACGATGAATAGGAAAAGATAGTACTCTGTAAAAGATTTACTAATTCCAGAAGGCTGGTGAGACCTACCTCTGCAATACACGTAAGGATGATCAGACAGAGCTTGCCACTGTGAAGCCTGTGTTCATCTGTAAAGAAAAAGTAAACTTGGGCTGGAGGCATGGCTCAACTGATAGAGTGCCTGCCTACCAGGATACATGGTACATCATCCAAATCGTGTATCAATGGAAAGTAAAGATGTATATCATAGCCAACCATGGTGGTGCACACCTGTAATCCCAGCACTACTCAGGAGACTGAAGCACAAGGATCACAAGGTTCGTGCTAGTCTGGGCTACACAGCAAGTTCAAGGGCAACCTGAACTACATAGCAAGACCTTGTCTCCAAAAACAAATAAACAAAAAATAAAGATGTATATCATAAAGAGGAACATTCACACTTTCTCTCCCCACAAAATTCATAAATGCAAATCAAGATACTACTAGAGTAACTCTTGCTTCTATCCTAGGCAAAAGAATTCCCCCACATTTATTTTTCTTAATTATCCTAGAACTGCTAAACATCTGAGAGGTAAATAATTCTTGTAATAGTTCTTATTGTCATGGCCATGACCGTGACATGCCCATTTGCTTCTGGATGAGCACTTTGCTTCTAAATAATCAAGTCCATTCCTTTTTCCACCAGCTATAAGTATCACTGTCTATATCCACTTTCCACAAAAATCTAGAATGGTGTTAGGACTGTTCATAGGAAACTGGCACTGAAATCTGAAAGAAATTAAATGGAGACCAGGATTCAATCCCACTGACAACATGACTTATGACCTGGAAAGATGTGAACTCTTCCTTTTTGTTTTGTTTTGGTTTTTGGATGTTGTTGTTATTGTTTTTGATACTGGAGCTTGATTGCAGGGCCTTATGTATGCCAGGCAAGCACTCCACTACTGAGCCATACCCTAGTCCTTCCTTTTTGGGGAGGGGCAGCACTGGGGTTTGAACTCAGGGCCTCACGCTTGCTAGGCAGGCACTCTACCACTTGAGTCACATCCCAGCCCTTTTTACTTTAGTTATTTTTCAAATAGGGTCTCATGCTTTTTATTTTCCCCCCCTTGCTTGGGCCTAGTTTATGATCCTCCTACCTCTGCCTCCTGAGTAGCTAGGATTACATCCTTGACAACATACTCAGCTTGTTCTTTGAGATAGGGTGTTATTAACTTTTTGCCCTGGCAAGCCAGGGCAAGTAAATTGGGCAGTGAAGACTAATGCCTGTAATTTTAGCTACTTGGGAGGCTGAAATTGGCAGGATCAAAGTTCAAGGTCAGCCCAAATAGTTCATGAAACTCCATCTCCAAACAGCCACAGTAAAATGGGCTAGAGGTGTGACTCAAGGAGTAGAGTGCCTGTTTTGCAAGCACAGAGCCAAGTTCAAACTCCAGTACCACCGGAAAAAAAAAAAAAAAAAAACTGACAGCTAGAAGACATAAAAGAAACTGTAGTCCAGAAATACATTCACCACTCGTCAGAGACAATCCAAAAAAGAGTGATGACAATCCCTATCTATCCCATACTACCTGTGGCTTATATCTAAGCCCCCAGGCAGCCAGGAGAGCAATAACCTTGAATATGCAATGCTGGATTCCCAAGACTCTTCTACCTACCCCTGATCATTCAAGTCTTATGTACCCTCGAGCACAGTTTCTAGGCACTATCCTCCCTTTTCCCAAAAGCTGAGAAATAGCTCCCTCAGAAAAGCCTGCAGTCATTGGTCTGGTTTAAAAAAAAAAAAAGGTTTCTGAATACAAAAGTAAAGCATATTTCAATACAGACATTTTAAACTAAAAAACACCCCCAAGCCTCCATCTTTAACCATGGATATTCTTTTTTTTTTTTTTTTTTTTTTTTGTAGGCAAAGTCTCACTAAGTAGCTCAAGCTGGCTTTGAACTGTTGATCTTCCTGCCTCCAGCTCCTGGTATGCTAGAATTACAGGGCTGTAATTCTAAATCTTTGCCTAATGTCTATTTCTTTCTTTTTTTTGCAGTACAGGGGCTTGAATTCAGGGTCTTCGCCTTGAGCCACTCCACCAGCCCTATTTTTGTGAAGGATTTTTCAAGATAGGGACTCTCGGAACTATTTGGCCAGGTGGCTTTGAACCACGATCCTCCTGATCTCTGTCTCCTGAGTAGACAGGATTACAAGTGTGAGACACCAGTACCTGGCAAATGTCTATTTCTTTTTCCAGTGCAAAGGACTGAACCCAGGGCCTTGCACATGGTAGGTAAGTGCTCTAGTGCTGAGCCACTCCCACAGCCCTAATTTCTATTTTAAAGATTGAGCAGATATTTCATTAAGTCAAAAGAAACCAGATTAAAAAAAGGTTTTAAAAGCAGAACCAAGAGGTGGGTGGATGGCTTAAGTGGTATAGGGCCTAGCAGCAAACATGAGGTCCTGAGTTCAAATTCCAGTACCATCAACAAAAATGCAGAACCAAATCAAGGGAGTGATAAACACAAAAATTCTGTGATAGTTTTTTTTGTTTTGGGGGTTTTTACATTTTATTTTGGTAATACTGGGGTTTGAACTCAGGGCCTCATGTTCCCTGCTAGGCCCTGTACCATTCCACTTGAGTCACTCTGCCACCCCTACTAAACATAAAATTCTGGAGACTGGAGAAGATGAATTATGGGGGAGGTAACACAAAAGTAGCTTCAACAGCATTACAAATGTTCTATTTTTTTTTTTAGTTGGGTGGTAGGTTTATAATATGTTCATTTTATTATTATACTTCATAACATATGCTATTATATTTACTATAAACTTTATAATTCATACATAAAAGTATCACTTTGTAAGTATCAACAATAGATACATAATAAAGAAGAAAAGGATATGATGAGGGGAGAAGAGAGCCAAGAAAAAGTTACCTCTATTACTCCTAAAAATATGAGCAGTTAGGGATGTAGCTCAGTGGTACAGTGCTTGTCTAGCATGCACAAGGCCCTGGGTTCAATTCCCAGCACCACGAAAATAACAACAATAACAATAATGTGATCTTTTCAGCCAGGGCATGATGTAGTAGGTCAGAAGCTAAAACAGGAAGATAGCTGGGCCAATAAAGCCCATAGAGGCCATTTTTTAAATTAATTCTTCATCATACTAACCTTGCCCTTTGCCATATTTAGGTTGCCTACTGCCAAAGACCTAACCAGCCTGAGTTTACAGTCACTAAGACTAAGCATACTGCCATTAATTAGCCTTTAATTTTGGCTTCTATTCAATGGATGGTGAAGTGATCAAGACAAGGAAGCTTATATAATCATTAAAGCTAAAAAATGAGTTCTAAGAGCCTCAATTCACTGTATTTTATCAAACAGAGCTAAAAGTTCACTTTTTCTGAGTCACATCCATGCAGTTTCCTTCCTTTATGGTTGCTACAACACTTCTAGAGAAAGGAAGAGGTTATCTATTTCCATAAAGAAGGAATAGCCTCAAGAAACCCTGATACACAAGAGTCTTTTTATCCTTGTCTACCAGATCTCACTTGCCAAGTCTGAGGTTCAGTCACCTCAGCAGCTCCCAAAGGACTGACTGTTCTAAGTTAGGAGTTTGTGACATGGAATATTTGCATCTATTTAAAATCTGTGGGTTGGGATGGAGGCATGGCTAAAGTGACAGTGAGCCTGCCTAGCAAGTGCAAGGCCCTGAATTCAAACCCCAGTACCACCCAAAAATAAATAAATCAATCCTGTGTGCAGTTCTTACACTTAACAGGGTACACTCACAAGACAAAAGAAGAAAATCTAAATTTGCAAAAGAAGAAATCTCCAAAACCTAGCATAATATGTCTGAATATAATATGGCTTAGACTTACCCACCCAGGTTCCTAATAATTCATTTCCTGTATTTATCTTTTAGCTGTCCTATCTTTTATCAGTTTCCTTCTTACTCCAAAAGCCCCTGGACCTGGTCTTTCCCTCCTTTCAGCTCCATTCCAAATTCTTGAAAACCCTGATACCCAAAACCTGCTCACCTCACTTGGCAAATAAAAGGATCCTAAAGTATGATAAATGCTGAAAGGAACCTTAAACCACTTCACTGGGCTTTAATCTCTACTCACAGAAAGTAAGTTGACAAAAGAGATTTTTTTTTTTTTTTTTTTTGATACTGGGATTTAAACTTGGGATTTCACACACTTGCTAGCTCACTAAGCAGGCACTCTCTGCTTGAGTCACACCTGAAGCTTGTTGGTTATTTTACATATTTATTTTTTCCATACTGGGGTTTAAACTCAAGAGCATCACACTTGCTAGGCAGGTGGTCTACCACTTGAGCCATTCCACCTGCCTTTTTTTTTTTTTTTTTGTGCATGTTGGGTATTTTTGAAATAGGGTCTTGCTTTTTGCCTGGACTGGTCTTAAACCACACTCCCCTGTTTGTGCTTTCCTACGCAGCTGGGATAATAAGCATGTACCACCATCCCCAGGTTTTTTCTGTTGAGATGGAATCTGTCAAACTTCTTTTTTGGCAGGAGGGGAGGGAGGGAACAGGACCGAGGTTTGAACTCAGGGCTTTGGGCTTGCAATGCAGGTGCCCTACCACTTGAGCCACACTTTCCATCTTCACAAACTTTTTTGCCGGAGATGGCCTAGAACCCCTATCCTCCTGATCTCAAGCCTCCCACGTAGCTAGGATGACACACAATGTGTGCCACCAGCACCTGGCTTGGAACTGGACTTTTTGATAACTGAGAATCTGAAGCTTGTTCACAGACCACAATTTTAGAACTCAAAGGTCATCTATTGAACTTTTATAATTCCTAAAACAGGATTTAAGAATTCTTTTAAGTAAGTCTTTAGAAGAAAAAAAGACATGCCCAATTTGTTAAGAATAAATGACTCTGGAAAACTCAGGACTTAAAAGGACTTTTACTTTCTAAGTAAACCATTGCCAAAATTCTTCTTTCCACATTTTTTTATTAGTGTATATTAATTGTACAAAGAGGTTTCATTGATTTGTCCATACTTGCATATATACTTTGATCAGATATACTCCCTCTAAGCCTGGCACTGATGGCTCACACTTGTAATCCTAGCTACTGGGAAGGCTAAGATCAAGAGGATCAAGGTTCGAGGAGAGCCCAAGCAAAAAATTAAGATCCCCATCTTAACAAAAGCTGGGTGTGGTGGCAGGTGCCTCTAATCCCAGGAGATACAGGTAGGAAGATCCAGGTCTGAAGCCTGTCTGGAAAACACCCAACACAAAAAAGGGCTCGCCAAGAAAGTGGTAGAGTGCCTGCCTAATAAGTGTGAAGCTCTGAGTTGAAGAACCGGTACTGCCAATATATACACACACATACACACACACACACACACACAAATATCCTCTGTTACTTTCTTATTCTACCCACCAGAATATGTTAATATTTATCAATATTTCAAGTACTTTTGTAACTAGAAAATAAAATCTTTCTAAATGGCAGAAGCCCACCAAATCAACCTATAGATACCAAATAAAATTCTAATAAGAGGTTCACTAAAATACTAAGTACATCAAGAGCTTGCCTAGCATACACAAACCTTAGGTTTGAGCCCCAGCATTTAAAAAAAAAAAAAAAAAAAAAAGGTGAGGTTTAAAAAAACATTAATTATGAGCTGGGCATGATGGTGCATTCCTGTAATTCCAGCACTCAAAAGGTTAAGGCAGGAGGATTCTGAGTTCAAGGCCAGCCTGGGCCACATAGTGGGACCCTATCTTAAAAAAAAAAAAAAAAAAAAAATCAGCCAGATGCCAGTGGCTCACACCTGTAATCCTAGCTACTCAGGAGGACTGAAGTTCAAAGCCAGCCCAGGCAAATAGTTCTGCAAAACCCTATCTCAAAAAGCCCTTCACAAAAATAGGGCTGGTGGAGTGGCTCAAGGTGAAGGACCTGAGTTCAAGCCTCAATACTGCAAAAAAAAAAAAAAAAAAAAAAAGACTAGTCTTGACCATAAAATCCTCCTTTCTCTGTCTCCTAAATGCTGGGATTACAGGCCTGTATCACCATGCTCAGCACTGTATGAAGTTTTTCTTATGTTTAAATTATAGGCTTTTGGAAGTATAGAACAGGTGAAATGCCCTATCTCAAAAAAAAAAAAAAATTACAAAAAAGGGCTTGTAGAGTGGCTCAAGGTGTAGGCCCTGAGTTCAAACTCCAGCATTTTGGAGACAACTGGCAAAATTTAAAAACGGAATGAATATTACATGATATTAGGGAATTATTGCTGATTTTCTTGGATATAATAATGGTATTGTAGCTATCTAGGAAAATGTCTTTAATGTTAGGTGATGCAAGCCAAAGTACTTAGGTGTGAAGTATAGTGATATCTGCAATTTCCTTTGAAATGATTCCCCTGTCTCAAGGGAAAAAAATATTCAACACCCAATCCTCACCCACTGCCACTTGCATTTTTAGGATGAGTATTGACACTTCTATTTTAAGTGTTAAGGAATACAGTCCCTCTGAATCTCACCTCTTCCTACTGTACTCTGCAGAACAGTCCTGTAATTTTCACCACAAGCTGATGCTTTCAGTTCTTGTCCTCAAAAAGGAATTCCCTGAAGTGTGCTAATCTCCCCTCTTCTCACATAGAGGATCCTGCATCTATTTACTAAGATTTGCTAAGATGACTTGCTAGTTTTTGTAGAAATCAATTTTTTTTCCTGTTCTATTTATGAATCTTCCCCTCCAAGTTCAGGATTTTCCAAATACCACCTAATTGCTACCCAGCAGTAGAAATCACTCTTTTCTACGGGACCATCACCCTGCACAAGAGATCCCAACAGTTCATCTGTCAACACCACAAAATATAAACATTACACCAGGTATAGTAGGGCATATCTGTAATCCCAGCTACACAGGAGGTAGAGACTGGGAGACCAACCAGCCCAGGCAGAAAGTTAAGACCCCCATCTTAATAAAATCTGGGCATTCTGAAATATAAGCATAGTTTGTATTAATGTGACCAGCAGTCTTTTTACACGTTGTCTTGGTGAAGCTGTGTTTTAATAACACTCATGTATGTGAGCAGGCTTTCTTCTTGTGCATTTCCCATGGCATCAGAAAGCAGCACACCACAAGTTCTGTGTGGCCTCCCCAAGGAAGCTCTAGGGAAGAAAACGGACTAGCAGTGGAAAGGGCTCGTTACCAGCACAGGTGCAGTTTCTGCTGTCAGCTAGTTTGTTTTTAATTTCATTTTTGACAGGTTGACAAGGTTGTAATGAAATTTTAAGTTGCAATAAATATGTTGCTTTGAAAAAATAAATAAATAAATGAAATAAAAGCTGGGCATGGTGGCAGGTGTCTATAATCCCAAGGGACACAGGTAGGAGGATCTAGGTCTGAATCCAGTCCCAGGCAAAAACGTGAGATCCTGCTGGTGCCAGTAATCCTAAATACTTGGGAGCCTGAAACTGGGAGGTCAGCCCAGGTAAGTAGTTCTCAAGACCCTAATCTCCAAAATAACCCAGCAAAATGGACTGGAAGTATAGCTCAAGTGTCCTGCTTTGCGAGAATGTGCATTGCAAGCACAAAGTCCTGAGTTCAAAACCTAGTCCCACCAAAAAAAAAAAAGTTGAGATCCTATCTGAGAATAACCAAAGCAAAGGCTGGGATGTGGCTCAAGTGGTGGATGTGCTGCCTAACAAGAACAAGCCCCTAAATTCAAACCCCAGTACCGCCAAAAAAAAAAAAAATTTGCTCTTTGATTCTAGCTGCCAGCCATATTTCCTACTTCCTGAACTCCCAAAGTAGGACGCCTTACCTTTAGTGTCCTGCATGACAATTGAGCTATACTTTAAGAAGGTTATCAGTAGATTACTGGTCTGTACATCTGCATCCAGTGGGAGTTCCACAGAACTTATAACTGGAATAGAAAAGATAAAATGCACTTAGTCCATAACATATTCCATCTAACACTTCTACCCACATAGCCAATTTGCCAGCAGGCAAGAAAATGACTAAATAAGCTTTTCCCACAACAGAAGGAGGACCAAGTACTTACCATAAAATTTTTATCTACTTTTCCTAGGCCTTTAGAGCCCTCCCTCCTCCCCCAAATAAAGCCCATCAAGTTTCTGTCACAGCTAAGGTCAGTCTCCAGCAATACTGCACTTCTCCCAACATCCTAGGAAGGGTATAGTGATTCCACATCCACACCCAAGTAATTTGAAAGAGTTCAGGGCCCTTCGTAAAGACACTAATTCTATCTACCTAAAAGAAAGATCTGTATTGAATATAAATGAGTCTTGCTTTGATGAGTCTCTTGCTTAAAATAATTGAAGATTCCTTCCCAAATAAGGAGAAATCTTATTCAATTTTGAGAACAAGCCTTTATTTTATTTTTTAGAGAAAAGCCTTTAGACTGGAAGTACAAGATAAAGAGGAAAAAAGTTAGGGGAAAACTACATTTAAATTCTGCTCCTTAATCCCTTCCCCCCTGAAAGGGAACCTGAAAAGGAGTATCAGACTGAAAACAGGCAGACATTATTGATTGGAACAGAATGAGAAACAAGTTTTATATATCCAGATGCTGTTTCCAAGAGAAATCCCCTCCCCTTGACAAAGACTGACCTACATGGAACATACTGTTAATGCAGAGTTTCATGATGGCCCAGACAAGCTGGACAATCTATAGCTTTCTGCTGTATTTCCAGCCATAAACATTCATCTGAATTTAGAGTATTACTCATAATGTATATTCATAACGATAATGGATCCCTCTGGAGTTATTATGATGTATGCAGAGGCTGTTTATTAACAACGGAAAACATTTGCATATCATGGACCCATAATACACAGTAAGCACAGCAAAAAGCCTTATGAAAAGAAATTAGTATGCTCAACTCTTGGCTGTTTTCCCACAGTTCAGCCCCCAAGAACTAATAAAAGACAAATATATTTTTATGTTGAAATACTAAATGATCTTAATTCATAATATGGGTTAATGACCTGAGACTGTCACTTTTAAACCACACCTACTTTGAAGCTCAAACCCCATAAACAGTCCTTTGTCCAATATAAAGAGGGACTTTTTTTTCCCGCTCATAGCAGCAATGACTGGAAAACTATCTTATATAATACGTAGAAAATATAGCAGTATATGTATTTTTAGTTTACCAGAAAAGTCCTCTCATGCCAAGGCGGAGTTGTCAAATGTCAAGTCTGAGCTGAGAACAAATGTTACAGCTAACTGTTGGCTTTTAAAAATAATGGTTCCAGTGACATACCTTTAAATATAACTGGGCTACTAAGCAGCACTATAATTAAAAAACAAAAATTAAATATAATACTTAGGACCCCTACAGAAAGGAAATGTGTTAGAAGAAAAAGAACAAATAAGACAGAATAAAATTCCTCACAAATTAAAATTTTCCATCTTAAGATTTTTTTCCTCCATCTTTGCCTTTATAATTCTTCCCAGAAGCTTTTGTCAAGAGAGACAGTCATTTGAAAGTGGGCTGACTTGATCTACCCACTAGAAAAAAATAAAAGCTCACTGGTTGTAGGTAAGTAAGCACAAATCCTGCCATTGCATAATCAAGTGTGTGGGTGGAAGTGTTCACAATGAACAGTTTGAAAGGCAGTTCTCTGAAACATCCAAACCCCAGTATCACATGGAAACATGGATCTGAGATATAAAAAATATATATATAGAGAGAGAGAGCTTCTGATAGCCATGGTAACCAGGCAGGCTTCATCCTTAAAGAAAAAGTACAGTATTTCTATTGGCTTACTCAGTGACCTGAATAAACAGACAAGTAGGCAATCTTCACTATGCTCCTTCTCATTAAGATATTTTGGAATTTGGCTTTCAATTCTAAACAGATCCAATTTGCTACCGAATACCTGAATATCAATGGCACCTCCTTGCCATACTGTACTGCTTATACTGCCTTAAAATGCTACTGCCACAACAAGCACTATAGAAAAATCTAGGGACTGAGGATGTAGCTCAGTGATAGAGCCCTTGCATGAGGCCCCAAGTTCAGTTCCCAGCACTGCAAAAATAAAAAATAAAAAAGAGAAAGCAGAACAAAGAAGGTCATTTCACATACAAACAGGAGAGAAACACAAAGAAAGGAACAAAGCTTCTTTACATGAAATAAGGTCAACATTTGAGATACATTAAGTATTAATGTAGATCATTTTTAGAATAAGATTTCAATCAGAAACTCAGCCTACAATACAACCAATTCAGGTAACAGATTTTCAGACAAAAGTCATACTTTCTTTTTTCTTTATTTTTTTAACTGACATATAAAAACAAAAATCACACTTACTTATGGCACTCCATAAGTACAATATTTTAATACATGTATAAGCTGCATAAAGTTTCAATTAGGCTACACATATCTATTCTCAAACATTATTTCTTTTTTGTTGCTTTTTTCTTTTTATGTTCTAGCCATTAGATTTATAAAGGGGAAGTTTATTTTGTTTTTAGGTGAAGAAGTTTTAAATTTCTACCAAATTCCCAATTATACTACACTCAAATACTGTCATTTCCACCGAGGAGTAGCTGACAGATACGTAACAGTTAGTGAATCGCAGGTTCACTTTTTCATTCATTTATTCAACGAATATTTACTAAGTAATTACCATGCCAAGCACTATATTGAGCATACAGCAGAAAGCAAAATACACACAGTCTCTGCCCCGATTACACGTCTTGTTTCTTATTTCCTATTCTTGCTAACCTTACTCACTAAACTGCTCCATTTCTCTGGCCTCAATTCCCTCATCTGTTAAATGGTCACATGAGACAACATTTATTTTAGTGCTTTAGAGTCATAAAATATCTCATACATGCCTCACAAGAACCCTGCTGTATGGCAGGACAGGCATTACTGAACTTTGAGGCATTACTCCATGATCCTAATACCATTACCTGAGTGCACAAGCTAGTTACCTTTCTTCTTATATAGGAAAAGAAAAAACAAAAAGAAAAACCTTTGGAACTTTGGGAGCCCTAAAGGACAGTTCCACATATGCACAATTTTTTTTTTTTTTGATACAGGATCTCTCTATATTGCTTAAGCTTGTCTCTAATTCCTGAATTCAAGTGATTCTCTTAATTCAGCCTTCCAAGTACTGGGAATACAGGCACATGCTACCATGTCCAGTTTAGACAACTTTCTTTCTCTTTTTATTTGTACTGGGTATTGAGACTAGGGTCTTGTGTGTGCTAGGCAAGCACTCTACCACCAAATGACATTCCCACATCTTTTTAAGTGAAATTAAATTTATTTATTTTTGGTGGTACTGGGGTTTGAACTAAGGGCTCACGCTTGCTAGGCAGACACTCTACCACTTGAGGCACTCCACCAGCCCTTTTTTTGCATTGAGTCTTTTCGAGATAGAGTTTCTCAAACTATTAGCCCAGGCTGGTCTTAGAACCATGACCCTCCTAATCTTTGCCTCCTGACTAGCTAGGATTACAGACATGAGCCACCAGCCAGGCTTTAATTTTATTTTGAGACAGTCTCACTAAGCCTCACCCAGGCTGACCTCAAACTCTCTCTGCAACCCAGGCAAGGCCTTGAACTTGTGATCTTCCTGCCTCAGCCTTCTAAATAGAAGGGATTAAAAGTATGTGCCATTATGACTGACTTAAATTTCTTATCATAAGAATTAACAAATGTGGAGGGGAAGGGCATAAGGAAAGGGTGAATGAGGGCAAATATGGTCGAAGTATTTTGTATTCATATATGAAAATAGAATAATGAGACTTGTTGAAATTGTTCTAAGAAGGGGAAGAGAAGGGATGAGGGAGAACAATGGAGGGGGTGAATCTAATTAAGATATATTGTAAGCACATATGTAAATATCACAATGTAGTCCTCTGTACAAATATTATATGCTAATAAAAATACAAAAATTTTTTAAAAGAATGAACAAGTGTGTTCTTTAACTCAGCTATGCTTACCCTGAAAGATCTAAGATCATAGTAATCAAGGTCACAAAAGAGGTAGTGGGCTCACCATCAGAGGAGGGTGGCGTGGTCCCAAGTGGTGTGACTGGGGTTGTTGGAGTGGGACTGACAGGGTTGTCACCAACCCCATTTCTGGATGACTCTGAAAGAAGACACAGATGGGTAAGAAAACAGAAAACCCAATTCTCCTTAAGCATTCTCTTCCTAATATTCTCACTGGTATTACTGGCCTTATAATTAGACCAAAAGCTCACTGCAGAGAGACTTCTGCATTTGGTTCCTATGAATGCCTGATTACTGCTATGCTTGCTAAACTCTAACAAGCTCTGTGGGCTAACTTTTGTTAAGCAAGTAGGTTCCCATTACGTAAGTTTTGTTGCAGCAGGCAGAGTGGCTCAAGTGGTAGAGCACCTGCCTAGCAAGTATGAGGTCCTGAGTTCAAGTCGTAAGTTTTGTTGCAGAACCAGACAAACAAAAATTATTCAGATGATTTTACATAAAGGAGGGCATTTGCAGTCCTATCTGGACCTAAGAAGGGACTACTCTCAGCATATCAACCTAAAACACATCTGTAAGTTGTTCTAATGACCACAAAATTGACTAATAAATATAGGATAGCCAAGGGGATTCTAGATACCATAAAAAGAGCTATGCTGATGGCAGCTTTCCTGTTCCACAACGAACAAGAATATGTGGAGTATGGAGATAGAGAGTCAAAGGAAGACACACAGAAGGTACCAAAACAGATAACCCCTCTGTCCTGCCATATCAATGCTTGAGAAACAAGCTCAGTGGTACCTCTTTTTAATCTCCCTTTTCTCCCCCAACATCTTTATCATCACTTTCCTTTTCTTACCTCTTCTTCTTTTAAAATCAGTTATTGAATTTAACAAGCTGACAAGGAACACAGTGAGAGTAGTGAAGTTTCTTATGTTCTCAGTCATGAAAACTCATGTCCTCCAACGTAGACCCCAAACCAGTATACTGCTTTTAAATGACCTTATTGTTTTTATTAAAACTTATCAATGGATTCCATTCCTATGTGGCTTTTGTGGGGGGGAGGGAGGCACAAGTAAACTTTCCTTTAAAAGAAACCTACATACATATTTTAAACAATCCAGCTCTAAGATAAAAATACTTTACCAATTTTTTTAATCTAGCTTTCATGAACTCAAGTTCTCAACCTATTCCAGTCCTCTTCTGTGCCAATTACTGAGGACATCCCTTAAGGATGTGACCCAGCACTCAATACTATGTCTTCCTGCTTTCAATGCACATAAACCATTTTGTATATTAGTAACAAACCATACCCTGGACAGGGTATCTATCTTTTCTTTTCTGGAAACTGGTAAGATAATAACATAAACGACTTGGCCTATTTTATCTCCAGTTGTAATTCCACAGGGATTTATAAAGAAGAAAGCCTGATATAAAATTCTGTACACTAAATAATACCACAGAATTTCTGGTAAACAAAATGAAGTAATCTCTATTCTTTTTGGTTAACTGAATGAGTAAACTGGTCAAAGCCATTAACTTTGCATATCATTAGACCTACTTCAACACCAGATGGGCACATATATTTGAGGACAGCACAAACCATAGGCAACTGATAGAGCACTCTATTACTACCACTTACCAATGCAAAGCAGAATTTAAACAGCACAGCCACATAGGCTTTTTCATGGAATGGATATGTATGAAATCCAGGGAGAGGGTTGTAGCTATAGCTGAGCAGCAGAGCGCTTGCATACCATGTGTAAGGCCCTGGGTTAGATCCCCAGGAAGGGGAAAAAAATATTAGGGAGAAAAAGGATTGGAATTTTTAATGTAACCAACCTGAGCTAATACTGTGATGAAGTTTCGGTTTAAATGAACAGCTTCATAAAGTGCCAGAAGAATGGCTTCATTGGTTCTAAAGAAAAAGAAAATAAATTGTAATTGTTCTTACAGTAGATGATTTAAAACATTATAACCATCAAGATAAGATTTTACCCCAGCTCCTCACTATCAATACACTTCGAGTTTTTAATGTTCCCCTTTACTTTCCCTTTTGGCATTATGCAAAGGTATACAGGAAAGGAATTTAAGTTCCTTAGGACCAGTCCTTATCTACTTCATTCACTATCCCTCCTATGTTTCCACCCCAATCCAATTAAATCCTTAACCCAGCACTCTGTCATTTCATTCCAGAGATAACTAGGAACAGTTTTTCAACTTCTTGGAGTTCTTTATACGTGAGACGGAAGCAGAGATTTCTATTAGTCCAGTATTGTTTAAAGCCCAAAAAACATTTGAAAAATCTCCAAAAACAGTTTTAATCTGTAAAATATTAGCAAGAGGTAACATTTCTCACTCTTATATACAAGAGGAGAGCCCACTTTAAAGTTCAAGTCATTACACAAGAATGTCACTTACTGTACTGAGATTTTCTCATGGGCATCTGCTATGAACATGCTGCCCACCTGTGGAAGGAAAGGGAAATTGCAGACTTTATGCAAGAGGATGTGAAAGGAGCTTTGTGCCTTACAGTGAGAGGTAACTTGAAACTCTGGACCATCAGCCACATACTCTAAAACCAGACTACTTTGAAGATCTTAAAAGACTTACAAGTAATAAATGAAATAAAGAGAATCTAACCAAATCATCTTGTCCTAAAGGACCTTAAAAAATCCTGTATTTTTGTCCAGTCCTCCTTTCACTGTGTAGGCTCAGTCACCACAACAGTAAATAGATGTTAACTTACATATTCTTATCACTCTGCATCTTTCCTAAAAGCTGCTTAATTGCAGTCAGAAACTAACTCATATAGGACATCACAGAAAGCAGGCTGACTTTCTGGAGGGAATATCTAAGTTTCAGACAAGAATTCGCTTTGCAAGACCCTTACTTTTGTTTTGTTTGGTTTTGGTGGGACTGGGGTTTGAACTCAGGACTTCACACTTGCAAAGCAGGTGCTCTGCTGCTTTAGCCACTCCTCCATTCTCTACCTTTCAGATCACAAAATCATTAGTTTGTGTCCTAGTCAGGGCAGGCAAATAAATGATTGGTATTAGTTGCCTTTAATATATGATTTCAGAGGTACTGAGAATGATGTCCACCTGCTTAATGATGCCCCAAACTATACAGCTAGAGTTTCATTTGTTTAGTACAAAACCTTTTCTCCTTGGCTAAAAGTTGAAGATCCCTGGGAGCAATATAATTGTATCTAATGCATATAATTAAATACTAATAACAAAACTCATACTTCTCTAGCCTCTGAGAAACTGCATTCATTTATGTCTCAGAGTTAAAAAGTTAATAAAGTTCTTTTCCAAAAGTAAAGGAGAAAGCACTGGGGAAAATCTGCTTTTAGGGATAGGGGGCAGCTGTTCCTTTCAGTAAACTCAAAAACTGTTTTGATCTCACTTGAACACTAATGCCCAAAAAAGACAGACTTTCTTGGATTTGAGGGAGATCTGGCTGCGACATCTGTCACCCCATTGATCTCCTGGGTTAATCCAGCTGATCTGGCTGGCTAGGCAGGTGTCCCCTTCCTCCCTCACCATTCCATGTGCATCCCTCCTGAAGCTGCATACATCCCCCGATAGAGGAGGACTGTTCTTCAGAGAAGGGTATACGAGTAGCTCGCTCTCCTGCTAGAACCTCCAAATAAGCTCTCAAGGCAGACTTTCTGAATCGGCCTAGATTCTAGGATCTCTTAGATTTATCTCTTAAAACTTAGTGGCAGCAAGGCCTGGTAGCAGAGGCTTGTGATCCCAGCACTCAGGTAGTAAAGGCAGATAGACTATAAATTCAAGGCCAGCCTAGACTACATGAGACCGTGTAAAAAAAAATAAAAACAATTAGTGCCAGATTATCTGGCCCAAAATGCCAGCTTGCCAAGATTCAGAACCTTGAAGTCTTACAAATTTGACCATTAACTTTCCTAAATCTTGCCATTCTCAGCACAGACCCTAAGCCTTTTAGATGAACGGCTTATATCTACTACATAACCTTCCAACCCCTAGAACAGCTACTAGGGATCATGTGGCCAGAGTACATTATAAAAGAGCGCTTAAGAGAGGACTCTGATGTAAACCCTCTGATCCAAAAAGGGCCAACTGTTTCATGAGAGTGGGGTCTTGCTATGTTGTTCAAAGTGATCAACAACTTGTGGGCTTAAGTGATCCTCCTGCCTCTGCCTACGAAGTATCTACAGGTACATACCCTCACACCTGGTCCAGGGCTTTTTTTGTTGTTGTTGCTGGTAGTAAGTTTTGACTTCAGGGCCTCACTCTTGCTAGGCAGGCACTTTACCGCTTGAGTGACTCTGCCAGCACTTTTTTGTGTTAGATATTTTCAAAATAGGGTCTTGAGAACTATTTGCCCAGTCTGGCTTCAAACTGTGATCCTTATGATCTCTACCTCACAAGTAGCTAGGATTACAGGCCTGAGCCACCAATACCCAGCCAGGGCCAAATCTTTAGGAAGCAAAAGTCTGACTTAATGTGTAAATGTGTACCTTTTCTTTTTTTTCTGTTTCTTTCTTTTTTTTTTAAGATAGTAACTCACTATGTAGCCCAGTCTAGCCTCAAACTCACAATACTCCTACCTTAGGAGTATGGGATTACAGATGGGCACCGCCATGCCAAGCTATACCTTTTCATTATAAACTCATTAAGAAAAAAATAAAGCTGGACACTGGTGCCTCACATCTGTAATCCTAACCACTTGGGAGGCTGAGAGCAGGGGGATCACGGTTCAAGGCCAGCCCAGGCAAATAGTTCACAGGACTCCATCTCCAAAAATACAAACAAAAATGGACTGGAGGTGTGGTTCAAGCGGTAGAGCACCTGTTCTGCAAGTAAGAAGACCTGAATTCAAACCTCAGCCCCACAATAAAAAAGGAAAGAAAAAATAACTCAGAAAAATCAAAGCTCCTCTTCTTATTTTATCTGGTTTTGGAACTCACTGAAGGAGGTATTATTCCAAATAAAATCTGCTCTAAGTGGTCTTCCTCCCCTCATGATGATACCATCTCAAACATCTGAACTCCTGAGATCAGATATGCCTAGCCCGAAGACCTCATCACGAAAAAAAAAAAAAAGTAAGTAGGACTTACCATATTTGTTAAAGCAGAGAAAAAACCACTCTGGTGTTCTTCTTCCTTGTCTTTATACTGCCTGAACAAAAATAACTAAATTCAGCTTCAGGATTATTTATCAAGTATGTCTTTGACCCTGACAGTCTAGGTAATCAGGGCAGAACCCTTCTACAATTCTCTGACTGTAGAAAACTAAAGCATGATGACAATCTACCCATTGCAGTTCCCCCGCAAGCAAAGAGGCACCCATCTGTTCTTGAAGTAGTATGTACCAAAATGCCTGACTACTTTGAGAGAGACTTAGAAAGCAAGTTGCCAAAGTGTGAAACTGCTCTAACATATGGTTGATCCAGTTATTTCCCAAACAGACTATTACTTTAAAAGTGTGACAGTGAAATTACTTTAAGGCTGAAACAGGGAAAACCTTGTTTGTATTTGAAGGAAGAGAAAGAAAATTGGAAAGCTAAAACATGTGTGGAGATGAAACATATCTGAAATCACTAAACCCAATTATATGTAAGGAAAGTCTACAGAGAAGCAAGAAAGATCCTGCATAGCCTTTGACAGGATTACAGGTAACTCTGGTTTTCATTCATAGAACACCAGATCCTTCCCCATCCACAGCAAGAAGAAAAGCAAGCATCAGTGAGAGGACCATCCCCATCCAGGTGAGACTGAAACTCTGGAAAACTGAGGTTGATCACTAATGAAAAGAAACATTTGGTTTGAGGTTGTAGCTGAGTGATAGGGTATGTGTTTAACTTGCCTAAGGCTCTAGGTTCAATCCCAAGGACCAAAGAAAAGAAACAAAAAAAGAAACATCTTCAAACTAGACCTACCTCAATGTTTTCTCCTTTTATTTTTTAAGAAATAAAAAATGACACTTGTATGACACACTGGGCAAAACGGAGAAAGTGTTTATAGCTATAAAGCTAGTTAAAATGCTCTGCAACAAAGTACCAAAGGAAGGCTACAAAAGAATGTGCTTAATTGATTAAAGTAAAGACAGACACTATAATGGTGGCTACTTTTCTTCCCCTGTACTTAAAAACAACCCATGCTAATGCATCAAGCTGAATTGCAGCAAAAACACCTGCATGCAGCTATACCTCTGACTACTCTTCTGAGACAGGTCAGGAAATGTCACCTAACAACTCTATGACATCTGTTCCCTACTCAATTAATTCAAATGAAAATTAGACTTTCCCCTTCTGGAAAGGTATACTTACCTGTTGTACTCAGATAAAGCCTGAGCTATCACAAGTCCCATACCCTGGAAAAGAAAAGATAATGTAGCTGAAATAAGCAAGCAGCTTTTGGTTTTGGTAGCAATGCTATAACTCAACCAGGAAGAACATTAAACCTACATGGTGTATGCCCAAAAAGTTCTGCCTGAAAGCTGACAACAAGGACAGAAATACTGAGAAGCACTGTCAAAGCAGATAATAAAAATCTTAATAAGAAATTTTTTTTATCTAATTATCTTACTAATGTTCCCAGATACAATTAAAATAGAGTAACAAAGGTGAAACAGATCGGCCCAGATTACTGACAATTTCACTGGATTATTTTCACTTGCAAAGACAAAACTAAGTTAGAATATTCAAAGAAAAAGCCCTCATTTATCTCCAAAACAGCCACAGTAAAAGTGACAATGAGTCTCAGGCCAAATGAAAATGCATATACACAAGCCACTCTCTAGGTCAAAAGAAAAAGAAAAGGGAAGAAGCATCTAATCAATATTAAAGGGACCTGTCAACTTTCTTCAGAACATGCGAAGCATAACACAAAGATCAATTAAGGCCACAAGGATGAACCATGTGTGCCTTTTTATAAGGAAAATTAGTATGGGGGGCTTTGGAGCTCTTTGTGGGGTTGTGGGTTTGTTTCTTTGTTTGTAGTGCTAAGGATCAAGCCCAGGGCTTTGCTCACGACAGGCAAGCACTCTACCACTGAATCATATCTCCAGCCCCTCATAAGAGAAATTAGAAGAAATAAAGAGGACAGGACAGAAAGGAAATAAAGCCAGAAACCTGGTAATCTTCTTTCTCCCTATATTCATAGATGTTATTTTGCAAACTTTCAAGGACATATATAACAGATATATATTATCCTTCATGTTTCAGACTCACCAAGTCAGGCTATAAATATTATCAAGCTAATTCAACAAGAAGGAGTCTCCCATTATTTGCTCATCTAAGCTTCCTTGCTCTTGGATGTACAATTTATTTACTCAGTAGCATAATCAACGTCAGCATATTTTAACTATGAAAATAACCAACAACTTCATCATAATTAGCAAGTAAATGTTCCTCAAAACCTTCCTTCTATGACAGTAAGACAGAAGATAGTAAAATAATAGCACTTATGTTCTAAAAAGAAATACCTAGCTGGACACTGGTGGCTCACACCTGTAATCCCAGCTACTCATATAGCAGAGATCAAGAGGGTCGAGGTTAAAAAAAAAAAAAAAAAATCACAAAAAAGGACTGGTGGAGTGGCTCAAGGTGTAGGCTGAGTTCAAACCCCAGTACCACAAAAAGAAAGAAAGAAAGAAAAAAATACCTAATCAGGTATAATCCCAGCATTCAGGAAGCTGAGGCAGGAGGATCTCAATTCAAGGACAGCCTGAGCAGGCTGGGCACAGGTAGCTCATACCTGTAATCCTAGCTACTTGGGAGGCTGAGATCCAGAGGATGGAGATTTGAGGCCAGTCCAGGCAAATAGTTCACAAGACCCCATCTCCAAAACAACCAGAGCAAAATGGACTGCAGATGTGCCTCAAGCAGTAGAATGCCTGCTTTGTAACACAAAGCCCTGAGTTCAAATTTCAGCCTACCAAAATAAAAAAACAAAAAGACAGCCGGGATTACTCAATCTTTATAGCCAGATGAAATAAACACAATAGCTCTCCGCTCCTGGTTTTGTTTTGTTTTGTTTTTTCTTTGTTTGATTGCAGTACTGGAAATTAAACCCAGATCTACTGAGCTATATCCTTATCCCTTTTTATTTTGAGATAAGTTGTATGGACCGGACTTGAACTTTCAATCTTCCAGCCTCAACCTCCCAAGCAGCTGGGATTATAGACTCCACTGGCCCAGCTTCTTTTCTTTTAGTGTCTGCTGAAAATAAGAGCATTGAATGGCAAATAAGATAATACACAAGAATCCAAATACTCACATTGAGCGTAGCCTCATCATCCACAATAGATAGCTTCACAATATAAGGATTCACAGACTGTTAAACAATAGTACAGAGTCAGGTGAGTGTGACCTAGTTAAGGAAACCTATTAGATAATTAAGAAAATATTAACAAAAATCCTTCTATCTTCTTCTGTCCTTCATCTCTTTCCATAGTGATGCTCTCAATACCCAGCCCCAATGTGGCTTGCCTACTGACTCTCCCCATTTCTATAACTCTCTCAGCACATATGGGCATATGCCAAGTGGACATGTGTGCATGCATGCACATACACACACAAACACTAGTTCTATTCTACCTGTATTTTCCTCTTGGCTGAATTAGCTCAGGCTTATGTTCACCACTTCTCCCATGTTTCCTCCCTTACTTATTTCTGAAAAGTAAGTGATGGGGTGGGGGAGTGGCTCAAGTGATAGAGGGCAAGCCTAATAAGCACAAGACCCTGAGTTCAAATCCCAGTACCACCAAAATATATATATATATATGTATATATTTCACATATATAAATTATAAAAAAATAAGTGAACACTACACAAAACACATACTTTGTCCTGCCCTACTGAGTCTATAGGGATAGGTATCTTTTGGGAGACATAAAAAAGCTTCTTTGCCATAAGGCACATATTTATAACTTACATTCTCTCCCAAAGGCTCCCTAACCATTTCATAGACTATATGCAAGGACTGATTCAGCCATCCATAAAACAAAACCAACTTGGGGGTAGAAAGTAGCAGCTGCTTAACAGCCACAGAGGCTGTTTATGGAGATCTAATAACACTGCAGGGGGAACTGGAAAAAAAAAAAAAGGATGTAATTGTAGAGCCACAATCTGGTCAGGACCCTGGGATTTAATAATTGTCCCACCACTTACAGCAATGGAAGATTTCTTGAGGTTTCCCAGACCCAATCTCAACTGGGCAGCATACAGAAATGGACATATATTGAAATGGACCATCTTCCTACCAGAGCCAAGAACCAATGACCTGCTCACCTTGAAAACATTCCACCCACAGGATATAAGGAAAGACCTAAGACAGATGAGGCACCAGTTGTAACCCAAAGGAGGCAAGTAACAATAATTCTCAGACTGGCAGTTTTTATAGCTACCAAGAAAACTCATTACTAAGAAACTTGAAAATCCAACTGAAAGTCTAACCCCCCACATAGACCTTATTTAATCAAGTTTCTGAGGACATCTTTTACATGTCAACTGGGAATAGAAAAAGAGAATGTTGTTCTCTTAACAGCCCACATGTTTACAAAGTTATACACAACACAATATAAGGAGGTTGAACCCAATCCATTTGTTACTTGATCTGATAGAGGAAAGGCTCTCACACGTCTTCTTATAACCAACAGTCAAATCCTGCTGATGCTACTACAGATTTCAGGCAAGATCCAATGCAAGTGGATCCTTAAAAAAGAAAATCAACAGTCTGACCTAGAGATGTTGCCATGATAAGAGCAACATTAGAAAGAGCAAACCACTGTTTCTTGGCACAGTATATGCAAATCCTAGCCACTCACCTTCCCAAAAGTAGACTCTTAGGTAATAACAAGGATCATCTGATTACTAAGATGAGTATATGCTTTAGCAGCAGTTGAGGAAAAAGCAATGTGGCTAAGACCAAAGGTTTGAATTCTAGTTTTTTGTTTGTTTCTGTTTTGTTTTGATGGTGGTACTAGAATTTGATCTCATGTTCTTCTACTTAATAGGCAGGCACTCCACCACTTGAGCCATACCCCCAGTCCTAGTTCCTCTTCTTATTGTGAGAAATCAGACACATTAATTAACCTTCAATTTACTCATCTATAAAATGGGGATATTTCCTCCCCTGGTGTTACAAAAGGCTTAAATTAAATATGACAAATAAAATCCTTAGCATGGTATGTGGTATATTAATAGCTATACTCTTTGCCCTTTGATGTTATTAAACATATTCAAAAAAAAGTTTGTGTTACTTATTTATTTATTTTTAGTGGTACTGAGATCTGCTAGGCAGACCTCTACCACTTGAGCCACTCCACCAGCCCTTTTTGGTGTTGGGTATTTTGTTTGTTTGTGTTTGGCAACACTGAGGTTTGAACTCTGGGCCACATGCTTGCTATTCAGGCTTTCCTACCACTTAAATCATTCTACCAGCCCTTTTTTGTGATTTTTTTTTTTTCCAAGATAGGGTCTTGAGAATTATTTAATTATTTGCCCAGGGCTGGCGTTGAACTTCAATCCTCCTGATCTCAGCCTCCCAGGTAACTAGGATTACAAGCATGAGGTACTAGCACCCGGCTTAAAAACTGGCCCAAAGAAATGTTCTTTAGGAAAAACAGGAAAGAGAAAAAAAGAAAAGGAACAATTTACAAATAGATATAATAAACATTTTGTAATTTAGGGGAACAGTAGGCTTAGAGCAGCAATGGGGTTTAAGTCATGTATCTCAGGAAACTTTGGCCAGTCTGGAAGGTCAGGATCTTAATGGAAGGTCAGGATCTGAATGCTATGAAAGAATCCAATACACTGATTATTCTTGACACTGTATACCTATTGAGTGGTCATTGGTATGTTTTGTTTTGTTTGAGGTACTGGAGTTTGAACTCAGGGCGTACACCTTGAGCCACTCCATTAGCCTTTTTGGTGATGGATTTTTCAAGATAGGGTCTCTAGGACTATTTGCCTGGGCTGGCTTCAAACCATAATCTTCCTGATCTCTACCTCCTGAGTAGCTAGGAGAACAGGCATGGGCCATGGGTGCCCAGCTGCTAGTCGTTTTTTAAAACTGTAAACAATCTACTTTTAATCCACAAAACAGACTTACTAACTAAGTGAGTCTTCATAAGATCACTCCATTAGGTCCCTGCTTTTTTTTTTTTTTTAATTGGGGATTTAAGCTCAGGGCCTAGCATATGCTACACAAGTGATCCCTTCATTTTGAACTATTTTTGTTTGCTTGTTTTTTGGTTTTATTTGACCCTGCTTTATTTGATCTAAATTTCACTTTCTTTTTTTTAATTTTATTTTTGAGTTACCATACTACTAATCCCCATAATACATGGGGATTCCACTGTGATAATTCCATACATGTATACAGTGTACCTTGAAAAGTTCACCCCATTGTATTTCCATTCCCTGTCGCCCTCCTTTCCCCTTTATCAGTATTTGGTGGGTTTCATTATGCTGTCTTCATATGCATGTATGCAGCATGCATCCATTCTCTTCGCCCCTCAGTATCCTTTCCTTTCTTCTTCTCCCCCTTCATTTTTCACTGTTCTTCCCTAGATCTTTACCTTTTTTTCCCTTTTTTTGCTTCCTTTATCTTTTTAGTTGAAATGACTGAAATGGAATATAATAGCTCAAGTGGAAAAAAACTATACATTTACTACATGACATCTTTTCCATCACTTCTATTTCTTACATCCAACAACTTATTTGCCTTCTATTCTTAGCTGAGTACCTAACCTCTCTAAAACCTCTGCACCTTCCTAGAAAATGTTCCCACTTACCCAACTGGTCACGGAATCAACTATTATGGTAGCTAGAATGCTCTTTTCCCCAACATACCCTCTCTACTGTTTTACTAAAATTCACTAGCTTTTGATTTTACTATGTTCATCTAAAACTGAAATTCCTCATGTTCCTGTCAAAAACCTTGCTTCACCATTGTCACCAGGCCTCCCTAATGGTCCTTGGTGAGTGACTTATATCAAAAGCTGCAGAGTCCAGATAAATTATGCCCACCAGCTCACCCCTGCCCACTATATTGGGACTTCAGACAAATCAGAGATGCATACCTCACTTCAGAAATACGATTTTCTCCAGCTTGTTGGCCATGTAGCATTTTTCAGGCTGACATTTCAGAGAGCACTACTGGGCTCTGCCAGGGTTCAGTTTACATTTAAAGAAGCCAAGCCATTGTCTCAGAATGGCCCACATTCACCAGAATGTTCTAAAAATATTCATTACTGATGATGTTGCATTCCTATCAAATATAACGCAACTTTATTTAACTATCCTCAGCAGTTTTCCTCAGCTATTTTTCTTACTGGTGTAATAAGGCCCTAGAGGCTTTTACACATGACAGAGATCATAACGGCTACTACGTCAGCCACTCCAGATTACCAGTAAAACAGGTGTTGGTGATAAATTACATATTTATTAGGAGCTCTATACCCCATTCATCAGTTCCTCCAAGACAATGAAAGTGATCATCTCTTGGGATTTATAACACGTTAACATTGCTTCACATATTCTAGTCCCTCATTTAGTATTTCTTTTTCAGAGCCTCTCCTTTCAGATCTCTCCTTGTAAGAATCAGCTCAAATTGATTTCAAACTATCTGAATAAATTATAACTAGGAATTGTATCAAAAATCACTAAGTAAAGAGCCAGAAACTCAGAAAAGAAAACCCTCTCTCCAGTGGCATGTTTCTCATAGCAATGCTACTTATTAAGTGAAGAAAGTCAGGATACCCTCAGTCAGAATTCAGAAACGTGCTCCTGGTGTATAGGATTGTGACAAATGCTTCCTACTTCTGGAAAGCAATTCACATGAAAGCCCCTGATCTTCCTTGAGCATCTCCTTCGTTTTCTGTGTATTCTGCCTTTTAAGAGGAACCAAGTACCTACACCAAGGTATGTATAAATCTCTGGGTTCTGCTCATCATTTCAAAAGCCTATAACCAAGGATTAGAGGTGTAGCTCAAGTGGTAGGGTGCCTGCCTAACAATCTCGAAGCCTTGAGTTCAAACCCCAGTACCACCAAGAAAAAGAAAAAAACCTGTAGCAGTAAGGCATAGTGGCACATGCTTGTAATCCCAGCACTCAAGAAGCTGAGGCAGGAGGATTACATTGTGAGACTTGTTTCAATGACCCCATCCCCAAAAAAATCCCTGTAAATCCATATCCTGATTAACTCAGAGGCAAATAGAACTCCAGAATTGATATTCAATTAAAATCTTCATTAAAATCAGAACGAATTCCCAGACCAACAGTGATATTCATAGAAGCAGACTATATTAAGGAAATCTAATATACAAAAATCCAATCTTTCAAAGCAGAGGCACTAGGTCAATGGGTCTTAATCCTGGCTAATCAACATACTCAACTGGGGATTTTTTTTAAAAAATCATCAGTGAAGCTGGGTGGCTTATGCCTGTAATCTTAGCTACTCAGGAGGCAGAGATCAGGAAGACTGTGGTTCAAAGCCAGACCCAGGCAAATAGTTTGAGAGACCGTCTTAGAAAAACCCTTCACAAAAAACGGCTGGTAGAATGGCTCAAGGTGTAGTCCCTGAGTTCAAGCCCCAGTACTACAAAAAAACGGTCCACTTAAACTGAGTACTGGTGGCTCACACTTGTAAATCCTAGCTATTTAGGAGGCTGAGAATGGGAGGACCTCGGTTTGTGGCCAGCCAAGCAAACAGTTTGAGACCCCCACCTCCAAAATAACCAGAGCAAAATAGACTGGAGGTGTGGCTGAAGCACTAGAGCACCTGCTTTGCAAGCTCAAGACCCTGAATTCAAACCCCAGTCCCACCAAAACAAAAAGGCCCACCTACCTCATATTTTCTGTAGTTTACCAACAAAGCCAAGAGCACAACAGCATCATACCCATGCTCCCTACGACTTGGGGGATGGGAAAGTATCTGTAACAAGAATCAGAAATGCATAACTGTTAAGTACTAGCTCCTGGTTCCTGGGAAGACAGACCATAAAAACTTAAGGAGACAGTATACCCAAAAGAGAAAAGTCATAAGAAAACTGACCTACCTGTAAAATTGCTTCAAATATGCTGTTGATCATTACATATTCCAAGATAGTGTTCTGGCTGATGTTGTCTGTTACCTGAATGCAATAAAGGGCTTTTTTAAGGTCTGCACTGAAGTATTCTAATATTGCATTTGTATCTCTTATCCTAGCATCTAAGAGTGAAACAGAAATGCTAGAACAGACTACTAGATGCTTAGCAGATCTTTCATAAGCATCCCAAAGCTACAGAGCCTAAACAGACAGATTCGATGAGGGTAGGAAATTAGCTAATCACAATTTCCCAGCTGGATGTCATGGTTCATGCCTGTAATCCAGGAGGCTGAGGCAGGAAGATGACAAGTCTACAAGATTCTGTCTCAAAAAGCCAAAAAAATTCCTAAATCTTTAAATTATTATTGTTTCTCTTATACCCCACAAGTATTTGCTTAACAGTTCTTAAGTTTCATTCCTCAAATGCACATGAAGAGGTTTATGAATACAAAAGTCTTCAAGACATGGCAGAGAAAGGGAACCACCTGAAGTGATTCAACAGCACCTCACTCTCCTTCTACTAGTAAGTAAAGGCAAGCCTCCAGTTATAAAATCAAAACCAGAACAAACAAAAATATTCAGAATCATAGAACCATTCCAAATGAAACCTGATGAGAAGGACAAATGTGATAATGCAGAAGATGGGTGTTCTCCTGGAATGATCCTTCTAAAGTGTAAGTATCACATAGCCTGCAAGCTAAAAATGCCAACAGTTGCTCCAAAGAGTAACTTCTAGGAAGCAAAAGACTATGAAACTAACTTCCTTCTACATATTTAGACACAGGAGAGTGATACAATACTCCAATAACAATTTTTTTCTTTTTCCTTCTAATTTGGGGCTCAACTATTCAAATAAGTTTGCCCTGCTTTTAATTAATATCCTTAACAAACATAAAAATGGGTCACTTACAGTCACTAAGCAGAGAAGAAGTTTCAGACATAAACTCTTCAGACTTTCAGAACCTTCTGCACAAAGCAATGAATCCAAACTCTCCATCAAGTTCTGAGAAAGAGAACCATTAAATATTAAAGCATACCAAATAACATTTACACCCACATCTGTACAACTGTAGGTTATGTTACACAGGATAATATGAATAACATACAATGAGGCAACTGTTATTAAGGTCAAAGAAAAAGAAGACTTCAAAGTCTAGCTATCTGGGGGGAAATGCTTTAGAACTAACTGCACAGAACAATAAAGAAGTCACTTTTACCAAATGCGTGCTTATAGCCTATCATCCACATATAAATGTTTAGATTAGAATTAGGTAAATTGAGCCAAGTGCTGGTGGTTCATGCCTATAATCCTAGCTACCTGGGAGATCGGAAGGATCACAGTTAGAAGCTACCCTGGGCAAATAGTTCTCGAGACCCCATCTCCAAAATAAACAAAGCAAAACAGACTAGAGGTGTGGCACAGGAAGAACACCTACTTTCCAAGCACAAAATACTGAATTCAAACCCCCATCCCACTAAAAAAATAAATAGAATTAGGTAAATTGAAAAGGGAAACTTCATTGCTTGTTAAAGAAAGTATATCACTCAACACAGGCACATTGAATAAATGACAAAGACACAATATCACTCACTACTAGCCATCACTGGCTATATGTATAATCTATCCTGGTCAACTCCAGTTAGCAATGTGACTGGAATTTGTCACTTGCACTAGCATCTCTTTTGAACTTCAGAGTTGTATACTCTAAGTTGTACAACTTGTTTGACAGTTTCACTCACATATCCTGTGTCTCTTGCTTGACATAGCCAAAATGGAACTCATTATTTCCCCTATGTCTATACTTCCTTATTTATTCTTTATTAAATAAAGGGGGAGAATGGATGAAAAATGGGCATTTGCCATCCTGGAAGGCCAAGCTAAAGATTCAAAGTAAGTTGCTTCCAGCTGGAAATGGGGCTCAAGTGGCAGAGTGCCTGCCTATCAAGTGTGAGGTCCTGAAATCAAACCCTAGTATTGCCAAAAAAAGCTGTGTCAGTTCAATTCAATAAATGTGAGCACCTACTCTATGCTAAATAATATGCCTTCAAAGGATATAAGAAAAAATAACCCTTGCTCTCATGGCATTTTTTTTTTTAGTCTAATAGGAGGGAAAAATAAGCAAATAGTTTTAATTCAGAAATATACAGGGGAGAGGGAGGGGGTGGAGTGGGTGGTAAGGGAGGGGGTGGGAGCAGGGGGAGAAATGACCCAAGCCTTGTATGCACATATGAATAATAAAAGAAAAAAAAAAAGAAATATACATGGAGGAAGAAAATTAGCTCAAAAGTCATCTATTCCAGGACCTCTGAGGGGTGTTATTTTTGAAAAATCAGTAGGAATTAATTAAAATTTGAGGAGGAAAGAGATTCCAGATAGGCATCAGCATGCTCAAAGACACAAAGGAGCAAGGGTTGGTGATTCATGCCTATAATCTCAGCACTTGGGAGGCTAAGGTAAAAGGATCTAGAGTTTGAGGATGGCCGGGGGCTATGTAAAGAAACCCTGGCCTGGAAGAAAAAAAAGGACATATGAGGAATGAAATAAATGGTACTTAGAAACCAGGCATGGTGGTACATGCCTGTAATCTTAGCACTATGGGGGCTGAAACAGGAGGACTGCAAGTTTGAGGTCAGCCTGGACTGCACAGTGAGACCCTGTCTAAGAAAAACAACCAGGCACTGGTGGCTCACGCCTGTAATTCTAGCTACTTGGAAGGCTGAGATCTGGAAGATCACAGTTGGAAGCCAACCCAAACAGTACTTGAGATCCCACCTCCCAAAGGAAAAAAAAAAAGGAAGAGCAAAATGGACTGGAGTTATGGTTCAAGCAGTACGCCTGCTTTGCAAGTATGAAGCCCTGAGTACAAACCCCAATCCCACCAGGGAAAAAAAAAAAAAAGGCCCTAGATAGAATGCAAGTAGTCTGTTATGGCAGTATAGAGTGAGGCACAGTGGTGAGAAATGAGACTGATAGTGCAGGTCCTCAAAGTTTAATAAGGCTAACTTACAAACTTTTTACTCTGTTAGGAATAGGAGACTAATGAAGGGTCTTAAGCAGGAATGATCTGAGTATAAGATACATCATTCTAATGTCACTGTGAATGACAGATTTAAAAATGGTAGCCTGGAGGGATGAAGACCAATGAGAACTAATCTATCAATTCCCTGAGCTATGTCTATTTGCCTCTATATAAGTGCTTACCACTTATTTAGAGGCAACAAATATTTGTCAAAAAAGAGAATGAGGGGAAAAAAGAGGATAAAGGAGAATGATGAGGGGGGTGAATTCAAATATGATATGTTTGCTATATTGTAAGAACTTTTGTAAATGCCATTATGTACATTATGTACACCCACCCAGCACAACAATAAAAAAATAAAAAATAAATGAATGAATGACAGGGATGGAGGTATGGCTCAAGTGGTAGAGTGTCTGCCTTATAAGCATAAAGCCCTGAGTTCAAATCCCATTTCCACCAAAAAAAATAAAATAAAAGAATCAAGGCATTACCATCACTGCTATAGTTTAAGTGAGAGATAATAGGAACAGTGACAGTGAAGGGGGAACAGGTATGGGAATTATGTGCTAAGGTAAGACTACCTGTGGTGATCATCTGGAGATAAAAGAGAGAACTTCCATGTTTTTGGCTTGGGGGACTAAGAAGAAGTGAATAAAGAACAGACACAGGAAAAACAATGAATTCCGTTTTGGACATGTCAAGCAAGAGACACTTACAGGATACGTGAATGAGAATATCCAAGAAAAAAAAAAAAAGAATATCCAATAAGTTCTTAGAGTATACAACTCTGCAGTTCAAGAGAGGATGTTACGGCTAACAGTAAGAGACAGTAAGTAGTCATCAGCATATAAACAGAAATTACAAAAATGAGAATGAAAGAGATGTCTTAGATTTTACCACAACATATATATGAACTGTAAGAGACCAGAATTTTAAAATGGTGCTAGGTACTATATCTTTGAATATTCATAACCTTTTTGGTAACCTAACCACTACTAGGATTTCTTTAGTAGACAGATGTAAGTTTAGTGAATGACAGAAGACAAGTTCCACAAAGTTCTTATTGTAAACATCATTCAATCATTCAAGATAGAATCAAAAACTGCAAATCATATATTGACAAGGGGCTTATATATAGAATATAAAGAATTCTTACAACAATAAAAAGATAACCTAATCTAGACATGGGCAAATGATTTAAATAAATATTTCTCCAAAAAAATGGAATAAAACAAAAACCAAATTGTTAATGTGATGTGGAAAAATCAGATCCTTCATACATTGCTGGTAAAATTGCAAAATGGAATAACTACTATAAAAAAATGATTTGGCAGCTTCTCAAATATTAAAAGCAGTTACTATATGACCCAGCAATTCTACTTACTACTAGGTATATGACTAAGAGAATTGAAAACATCCATCTATGCAAAAACTTACATGTAAATGTACAGAGTAGCATTATTCACAAGAGACAAAATGTTGAAACAACCCAAATGTCCATCAAATGAGGAATGAATAAACTGTAATATACCTATCCAATGGAGTATAATTTCACACACACACACAAAAGTAATGAAATACCAATACATTTAATAACATGGACGAAAACTGAAATACTATGCTAAGTAAATATCAGAAAGAAAAAGCCACATATGATTCCACTTATATTAAGTATCGAGAGTAGGTGAATTCAGAGACATATAGGAAATTAATAGTTTCCAGGGGCTATGGAGAGGAGGTAATAAGGAGTAACTGCTAATGGGTACATGTTTTCTTTTTGAGGATAATGAAAATGGGTTCTGAAAATAATAATGGTGATAACTATTCAATTCTGTGAAAATACTAAAGTGGATTATACACTTTAAAAAGGTGAATTATATATGTGGATTATTAAGCTGTTATTAAAAGAAAATAATGTCCAACAGTAGATATAAAAATTCTCAACTGGGCATGGGGGTACATGCTTATACTCCCAGCTACTGAGGAGGGTGAGGAAGAAGGAACACTTGAGCCCTAAAGTTCGAGACCAGCCTGAGCAACATAGTGGCACTCAAAAAAACAGAAGACTCTGAGTGGGAGAACACTTGACCAGCATGCACAATACCCTTGGGTTCAATCCCCAGCACTACAAATCAATCAATCAATAAATAAATTTATTCTTACATATTAATTTGCTATATTTTATTTAAATTCATAAATGTTGCCCGGTGTGGCTCAAGCCTGTTAAGTCTTTCTACTTAAGCAGTGGAGATTGGGAGGAATGAGGTTGAAGACCACCCTCAGCAAAAAAGTTCAAGAGACCTCATCTCAACCAATAGCTAGAGGCTGGTGGAGTGGCAAGAAAAAAAAACAACAACTGGGAGCAGTGGAATGGCAGCTACTCAGTGAAGCATAATTGGGAGGATCACAGTCCAGGCCAGCACAAGCATAAAGCAAGACCCTACCTCAAAAACAACCAATGCAGCCCTGAGTTCAAACCCCACCCCAAACAAACAAACAAAAACTAACCAATGCAAATAGGGCTGGTAGAATGGCTCAAGTGGATGAGTTCCTGCTTAGCAAGCATGAGGCTCTAAGTTTTCCAGTACTGCCTTAAATAAACAAATATTTGTACAAAGGTATGACTATATTGATATAAATAACAAAATAAACTATACAGTCTATATCCTACAGGGAAAGGATACCTCAATTCAAATTTAACTGAAAATTTTCCTTTATTCAGATAAAATCTGTTAAGTAAAAACATCCAGTCCAGAGGCCAGAGGCTAATGCCTATAATCCTTGGGAGGCTAAGATCAGAAGGATCTTGGTTCAAGGCCAGCCCAGGCAAACAGTTCAACAGACTCCATCTCCCAAAATAATCAGAGCAAAATGGACTGGTGGTATGGCTCAAGCAGTAGAGTGCCTGCTTTGCAGGTACATAACCCTGAGTTCAAACCCCAGTCACACACACGCACATGCACACACACACACAAATCCATATAAAAGACCAATTGCAATCATCTTTATCTATCTGAATCCGTATCTTCTAGTGCATGTCTGCAGATGGCACCCATGAACAATTGTCAGAAGCAGCCATTCACAGGCATATCCACAGCTTATGCCTCACCTTCATGCACAGCTCCGCCTTATCAAAGCCCATCAGCATGTTGATAATGTCAAACCCAGAGGTAGACTTATTCTTTTGGTGGACTCCCCGAATAAGTGCACACAATGTCTGCAGAGATGAGAGAATGAATTATGTGCAGAGAGGAACTCTCAAAATTAGAAGGGCACTAAATTTGTAGCCTCACAATGCAACCTCAGAACCATCTCCTTACAAAGCTGACCTTCAATTTCTGTTACTCTGATTTCTAAAACATAGTCTAAGTCTTAACAAAACCCAGGAATTAAAAGAGAAACAGTAACTGAGGCTGTTGTCATCCTCAGTTTTTGTTCTGTCGGCCATTCCTTTTTTCTTTTTTTTGTTTTTTTGGTGGTAATGGGGTTTGAAACTCAGGGCCTTATGCTTACAAGGCAGCTGCTCTAAATTTTGTTGGGGTTTTTTTTTTGGTCATCTCTTTTTTAAAATTATACTACAAACAGAGTATAAGGAGATATTCAAAACTAAAAAATATTTCCTGAATTTGAATTGTGGGATTGATAAATGTTTTATTAATTTTTTTTTTTTTTTGGCAGTATTAGGCTTTGAACTCAGGGCCTCATGCTTGCTAGGCAGGCACCATACCACTTGGGCCACTCTGCCACCTCTTTTTATGTGATTTTTTTGTTTGTTTTTTTGAGACAGGGTCTCACAAATTATTTGCCCAAGGCTGGCTTCAAACTGCGACCCTCCTGATCTCTGCCTCCTGAGTAGCTAGGGTTACAGTACCACCACAGAGAGAGAGAGAGAGAGAGAAAGAGAGAGACAGAGACCCACCCTATTCAAAAACTAAGTAAAGCAAAAAGGGGGGGTGGGTGTAACTCAAGTGACAGAGTGCTTGCCTAGTAAGCACAGACCCTGAGGGTCAAAACCCAGAACTGCCAAAAAAAAAAAAAAAAAGGCTGTTGAATGAATCTTCCTTCCTCATGATGATGCCACTTAGCATTAAGGACAGTGAGTCTTGTAGAGATGTAGTTCAGTGATAGAGCGCTCGCCTAGCATATGTAAGCCCTGGGTTTCATCCCCAGGACCTTTAAAAGATTTTTTAAAAAAGTGATTCTTAATGTTTTTTGAGTTATAGACCCCTTTACAAATCTGATAAAAAGACAAACGCTAGTGGCTTATGCCTGTTAAGAACCCCTCATTTCCAAAATAACCACAGCAAAATGGACTGGAAGTGTGGCTCAAGCAGTAGAGTACCCGCTTTGCAAGCACAAAGCCCTGAGTTCAAACCCCAGTCCCACCAAAAAGCAAAAAGAGTATCTTCTAATGTTTGCTATAATTATCTTTGCCTTAGTTTCTTCTCTTCTTTCTTTCCTCAAGTAATAACAAAAATTTTGTCAATCTGTCTTGGTGTTAAATTAAATTATACAAATGAACAAGATTATTACTGTAAGCATCAATTTGTTTAAACAGGAAGATGACTAAACAAATAAGATACAGATATTTGATTACTTAAAGAAATTTTAAAAAGAAAAGAAAGCCTCATACCTAAGGGCAATTTTAGGTTCCTCAGGTTCCAACAGATAGTTTATAATTCATTTCTCCTGTTAAACAAGACTTCCCCAGTCTCCCAGCCTTGTACCTGTAATGCATTGACAACTCGAATTGGATGCTCCTCTCCCAGAGCCTGGATGCAGTGCTGAAATAAACAATTAATATTGTCCTTGATCTTCATTAACTCCTCACCATCAAGGGATTCCAGCTTGCCTTCTAGGTATTCTAAATTCACCTGCCAATGAAACAATAAGGGCCTAAGCACGTTTTTAGTGTAGCAACTAGAATATAATATGGCAATTTCGGTTTCCAGGAAAACCCACATATGCCACCTAGCCCTACTTACCTTCATAAGGAAGAGCTCCTCCCAAAACCGAGGACTACACTTACTAGGGTCCTCTGTCTGAAACAAGAAGATAAGCCATGTTCAACTTTCCCAGCTTACAAGCATTAAGACTACATATAGTCAAGTTTAGCTTTTGAAATTAACTTTGAAAATGTTTTTCATCCTCAATTGCTATAATGAAGAGAAGAACAACAGTTTTTTATTTTGAGATTTTGTTTTTTACTAAAGGAAGACATTACACATGGATAGATATTCCTTGCACCAAAAGTTAAATAATGCTTCAAATAATTTCCTTCAAATATTTCTCTTCTAGAAAGAACTGAACCTAAACATACGATTAAGTCAGTCATGTTACAATACATCCCCTTTATACTTAGAAAGTGTTCTTCTCAAACCCATTCACAGATAAAATACAACTGCTCAGCGAGGAAGGGCAGTTATTATCATTGTCCTCCTTCCAGGAAAGAGGGTCCACAAAGTGAAGTGACCTACAGAAGTACAGGATTCAGAACCCAGATCATCCAAGTAATCTTGCAATGGTTTTTACATCATAATCATGTTTTAACTGTTTATACTTGCATTTAGTTCTTTGTTATTTGGCAGTAGTTTGTTGGTGGTACTGAGGTTTGAACTCAGGGCCTTAAGCACTCTACCTCTTGAGCCATGCTTCCAGCTCTAGTTCCCTGTTTGTTACTGTTGTTTGTGGTGCTGGGGATTGAACCCAGGCCTCATACATGGCATTTAGTCCTTTCACAGCTTTTTTTTTTTTTTGGTCAGGACTGGGATTTGAACTCAGGGCTTCACGCTTGCAAAGAAGGAACTCTACACTTGAACCATACCTCCTGTCTATTTTGCTCTGGTTATTTTGGAGATGGGGTCTTGCAAACTATTTGCCCAAACTATAGCCTCAAACCATGATCCTCCAGATTTCAGCCTCCCAAGAAGCTAGGATTACAAGCATGAGCCACCAGCACCTAACTTGTAGAGATCTTAACATGTTCTTTTCTTAATTCAAATTGATCCAAAAGCTAGCAAAATTATAATGCTAAATTCCAAAATTTGTTAGCAATAATTTTCAAACAGAAATTCTAGGAAGTCAGAAGTTTAGTGGGTTAAATAAGAAAAAGAGAAGGAAGTCCTACTTCACAGGCAGGCTAATGACACAACAAAATCAGCATGACAATTGCCCACTACCACCTTATCTTAATCTGACCTTTGAAAATTACTACCACAAAGATCTTAATTGGTTAAGAACTCCTAGTCTAAAAAAAAATTTACTAAGAATCTTTTCTGGATTTTTAATTGAGAACTGGGCATACAGGTAGAGATGCAACATCACTAGCTTACTCATAAGGTACTCATTTAGACAACTTTTTCTACCACTTTCTCTCAAGTCTTCTTCCGGATCAGGGATTAATTTTGACCCTTACATTTCTGTAAGGTCATTTTGTTGTCTACAAATGATAAACAGGGAACTGATGGACTAGGCCATTCCCATCCCCAAAGCTCAAAGAAGATTTATATGTAGACCCAGCTGTATTTATTTCCTCTCTATAGCTACTTGTACTACTTGGACAACTGTATTAATTTTCTGCATGTCAAATTCTATCTTCAAGGCTTACCAACAGTTCAGTCTTTTTTTTTTTTTTTTTTTTTTAATTTAGCTGAGTGCACTGTTTATTCTGAGCCATCCATGAAAAAGCTGAAAGAGTTAGAGGTTTGGAGTTAGGTACCAGTCAAATCGTAACTCCATCACTCTCCTATTGTGGTCCCATTATCTCATCTGTAAAATGAGGGTATTACCAACATTCTCACAGAGCTCTTGTCAGAATTAAAACTAATGAATTTAGTGACACATTTGGAATAGTGCCAGTTACATAGTAGGAACTCAATATATGATAACCCTCCAAGCATTACTCTATATATCCTACTAATAAAACCAGAATTTCAGAGGGCAAGTACTCCCACGTGGTGTCTACTTACTCTAACCTTCCTTCATAGGGTATATTTTATAACATAAGCTTGGACCATGGTCAATTAACAGTTCTGAAGACTGAAAGAAATCTCCAATCCAATTGCTAATAATTCTTCAGTTATCACATGTAGTTGAAAAATGATATAGTCTAAACAATTGTTCTGGCCACCAACAACTTGGATGGAACGCAGTAATGCATTTTTTTTTTTTTAATATCTGAATTATAAAGGCTGGAGGCATGACTCAAGTTGTAGGGCAAGCACAAGGTCCTAAATTCCCTAGTAGCACAAAAATAAAAATTAAAAAAATAGAGCCAGACACTGATGGCCCACACCTATAATCCTACCTCCTTGAGAGGCAGAAATCAGAAGGATCAAGGTTCAAGGCCAGCCCAAGCAAAGCAAAACAAAACAAAAAAAATTAACACAAAACAGGGCTGGTGGATGGAGAACACCTGCCTAGCAAGCACAAGGCCCTGAGTTCAAACCTCTAGTACCAACTCCCCAAAAAAAAAAAAGTTGTTTGGAAAAGAAATTTCCCCAGCCTTCTTCCCTCTTTCCAATTGCTTTACCCAGTTCATGGCAAAAACGTGTAAAAACACAGTAATAGGGTTGGAGGTGTGGCTCAAGTGCTAGAGCACCTGCCTAGTAAGCATGAGCCCTAAGTTCAAACTGCAGTACCATAAAAAAGAACATAATAACAGTCTATAGTAATTAATACATGATCATAATCCCTACTATGAGAACTTATCCTTGTCCTCGAGCTCCTCCCTCCCTCTTCTCTTTCCCCAACCTCTTTTACCAGTTTGAAAGCAGCAGACAGAGGTAAGGTTTTTTCTCATTTTAGAATAAGAAATTAAGGAATCAAGTTGTGCAGTATGACAGGGCTCCAGGCCTTACCATGAAGATCTCATCATACATCAGTACCACTTTTTCCTTTAGTGGTTTTTTGGATGCTGAAGATTTCCGGAGCAAACCTCCCCGTTTCTCTACTTGTGCCATTGTTAAAGAACCTGTGGAAGAAAAAAAAAAAGTCACACTTTGGGGCAGTGAAAAAAATCTGTACAACACTATACAGTGGATAGATGTCAGGATAAATTTGTCCAAACCCATGGAACATACAACCCCAAGAATGTACCCTACATCATTGGGTGACAGTGATGTATAAGTAAATGTATGCTCATCAACTATAAAAAAATACCACTCTGGTGGGAGATACTGCTAAAGGGGGAGGCTGTCAATAATATAGAGACAGAGAACACATGGGGTATCTCTGTACCTTCCTATCGATCTTGTTATGAACCTTAAAAAGCTCCAAAAACATAAAGTCTTTTCTCCCCTTCCCCCTAACATCAACTGAAAGGAAGGAAGGAAGGAAGGAAGGAAGGAAGGAAAAAGAAAGTTACAGTCACTGTCAGAATCCTCTCCTCGATGCTAGAGAGTCTATTGATATTTCAATGGGAAATTTTACAGGAAGAAGAAATGATAAACAACCATGCTGGCTATAGATCTTGTACATCTGTCCAACACTCCCTGCCTGGACCAGGTAATGTCAAGGTTTAAATTATCACATGGCCTACAGCACAACACATTTTACATCCTTAAAATGCACCAGTGGACAAGGCTTAAAGCAGATCCAAAACCAAACAGGAAAGTGTAACTAGCTCCATCTGTAATAGGTCTGGCTGTATATCTGAGGTTGATAGACGGAAGACTGCAAAGCACACACTGCCCATGGACTGGTGGTGAAGTTAAATTTCAAATATTGATCGAGCTTAGGACTATTAAGGAAGGAAGTGTGCTGCAGACTGATGTGCTCCATCAATTTCTCCAAAGTGAGTAGGTCCTCCTCACTGCAAAGTACTTGGCCTTCACTGCCTCATAAATCACATTGCACTTGACTGTCTTCAGAAATTCCTCTGGAAAGAGATTCAAGGCAGAAAATAGCAATTAAGAGGCCAAAATATGATTTCAAAATAACTGAATATAATCATATCCTACTTTCAAATTTAACTGTATATATTTGTAACCCTATTTTAGATCAAATTTTAATGTATTTTTCAATTCTATATAAAAGCGGTCCCAGAATGATGCTCAAATTTTCCACTCTTGCTTCAAGGAATTCTCAATTTTTCTTCCAAGTGAGAACTTAAAATCCTACAGGTTTCCACTATAGATTTACATGTATTCCCTCACCTCTCAGATTTGTTCTATTGTTGACAAAGATTCCGCACCCCCCCTTAAATCTTAAGTTCTTGGTATGAAATTTAAACCCATCCAAAGACAACTACAGAAGACTACAAAGAGCCTGATTTTATTTCCAGATACTTGTAAACCAGCAGAACTAATTTTGTTCCATGGCTTTTGGAACATATATACTACTTTTCCAATCAAAATCAATTCAACACTGGAGTTTGAACTAAGGGCCTCGAGCTTGCTAGGCAGGTACTCTACCACTTGAGCCACTCCACCAGCCCTTTCTTATGATGGATTTTTTTCCAGATAGGGTCTCATGAACTATTTGCTCAGAGCTGGCTTCAACCACAATCTTCCTGATCTCTGTCTCCTGAGTAGCTAAGATTACAGGGGTGAGCCAAGGGAGCATTACCAAAATCACAATTTTGTTTAAAGAAGAGATGCACTGCCAAGTGTAGTACTGGATACCTATAATCCCAACTACTTGAGAGATAAAGGCGGGAGAATCCTGAGTTCTAGTCTATCTGAGGCAAAATTAATGAGACCCTATTTCAAAAACAAAATATAAACAAAAGGACTGGGGGCATGGTTCAAGTGGTGGAGTGTTTGCCTATGGTACATAAAGCCTGGGTTCAATCCCTAGTATTGAGAAGGGGGTCGGGGGAGAGATGCACCCAACAGTACAAAAGATTCTATCTTAAGACATCATCTTTATTTAATACATACAGTCAAAACAGATAGAAGATTCTCCTTTGAGTGTACAACAAAGCCCAAAAAACTTCCCCAACTAGATATTAAACATATTTAGCACAGGGACTTCATCTTATACTTTTTCTATTTTAAGTACTTGATTCTTGGTAAGTACTTAGCAGAAGCTGTTCACTGATTCTAAAATAAAAAGGAAAACTCCTGAAAAGTCTGTAGGTCTGGCCAGTCATGGTGGTTCATATCTGTAACTCAGGAGGAAGAGGCAGAACAATCAAGAGTTCAAGTGCAGCCTATGCTACATAGTTTATTTACGACAGCCTAAACTACGTAACAACACCCTGTACTGAAAAAAAAAAAAAAAAAAAAAGCCCAAGAGCTGGAGATGTAGCTCAGTAGCTCAGTAGGTAGAAAGCTTGGGTAGCATGTACAAAGCCTGACATTTGGTCCCCAGCACAGAAGGAAGAAAAAGTCCTAAAATATTTAAGCTGTCAAATTCTTCTATGGTCTAGAGAAAACTTAAAAAGAGAGAGAGAGAGAGAAGACACTTTTAGACACTTTACATTGTATTAATCAAGACTTTGACTTAAAGCATGAAATACTTGAACCCTGTTTTGAACCCCATTCAAAACATTCCTGTGTCTTTTAAATAGGCTGTGAAGAGAAAGATGTCCTTATCCTGGGCAAATAAACTGGAAATCTAGAGGATCCTATTAAAATAAATCAAAAGCAATGCAACTCTGGATATAGACTCTTGCATGTGCTCAGTTTCAACCAGTTGATTAGCATGAACATCAGGAACCAGGAGTTCCTGGATGTGAAAAGCACAAGTTTACAAACATCCCCCTATGAGAATTTATAACAGGGTTACGGGTAATTAATGTCCACCCCAATTCTAATAAACTCAACTCTCTCTCAGAATCAATACTTTCTAATAAGCAAAAGGGAACAGGAGAGAAGAGAAAAACAATTCCAGCCCAAACTACCAAATTGTCTAAGAAAATGAATTATTTTCACCACTCTCCTTCCATTTAGAGCAGGGAGAAATTCAGCCAAGGGCTTCAATTCATTACTCTTTTTCATCAACACAGGCAACTGGAATTTACCACCCAAGACGCCTGAAATGTGACTGGAAACTGACAGCACAGTCTCCTCTTACTCCAGCACTCCTATGCATGGAACACAGCAAACAAGGATTTCTGGAGTGGTAGAATGGGAGAAGTGTAGAACTCTCAGAAAAGTTTTTGAGTCTTAGTAATTAAGTCTGTGCTCCTAAATTATAAAGCAAAATATCTGGTTGGTAAAGCACCTAGTTGCAGCACATCAGTAATACTAGTGCAACTTGTTTCCATTCTCCCAATGCTTTTAAATTCTTTTTACAACCATTCCCCATTGTAGAGAACCAGTACCAGCTGAGGAGCTGCCAGCCAGCAGAACTGAGACTAGCACACAGGCCTCCCAGCCAACTAGGCAACTCTGTGCTTCTCAAATTCCTCACGAGTAAGAGGATGGGGGGAGGGGAGGATGCTAGAGGCTCACTTCTATAATCCTAGCTACTCAGGAAGCAGAGATAGGGAGGATCATGGTTCAAGACCAGTCCAGGCAAAGAGTTCATGAGACCCTCATCTTGAAAATAACTAAAGCAAAATGGACTGAAGATACGGCTCAAGTGGTAGAGCACCTGAGGTCCTGAGTTCAAACACCAGTACTGTCAAAGAAAAAAAACCCTCAAGTCAAACTTCTCCACTGTCAAATATGCAAGGAATGTTAGTTACATGTAGCTAGTTGCTTATTCATTTATTTTATTGTCTTCTTAAGTACCACCCATGCCAACCCTAGGACCAGTAAATGAGTTTAATTCACTCTAGCTGGGCATGGTGTTACACACCTGTAATCCTACCACCCAAGAGTTTGAAGCAGGAGAATCTCCTGCTCAAGACCAGCCTTAACTACATACCAAATTTGAGGCCAGCCTGGGCTACACAGTGACATCCTGGCCAAGGGTCAGGATCTGATTTCCAGAGTTGCCAGATAGTCTTTCAAAAGTTTTAGGTTATAGCACATTTTTTTTTTCTTTGCAATGCTGGAGACCAAATCGAGAGCCGTCTGAATGCTAGGCAAGTACTCTCACCACTGAGCTAAATCCCCAGCCCCTAGCTTCAATTTTTATACACTATAAGTTTCTCTTCCCTCTGTCCATCTCAATTTGCCCACAGCTTTCTGTAGACTTCCAAATTAAATGGTCTAGGAATCTATGTTCACACATCTAATAGACTGTTAACAAATATCACCCTTTATGTTCAGACAGACTCAAAAACACTGTTTTAACAATGCTAAGGTAAGCATCTTAAAACACTTTGGCCAGATGCTGGTGGCTCACACCTGTAATTCTAGTTATTTGGGAGGCTAAGATTCGGAGGATCGAGGCTGAAGACCGTCCAGACGAGTAATTCCCGAGATCCCACCTTCATAATAACCAGAGCAAAATGAACTCTACCACAGCAGTAGTACAGATAAAATAATTACAAGAAGGGAGGGGCTGTAGGTGTAGCTCAGTGATAGAACACTTGCTTAGCATGTGTGAGACCCTGGATTCAGTCTCCAGTACCATACACATAAAAAAATAAATAAATAAAAAGAAGAGGAAAGAAGGGAAGTGAATAAAAGCAAGTGTGCCCATAATTTAGAAAGAAAAATGTATGCACAGATCAGATATTCACTTATTCATTCAACAATTTTTTTTTTTTTTTTTGCAGTACTGGAGCTTGAACTCAGGGCCTACACCTTGAGACACTCCTCCAGGTCTTTTTTTTTGTGTTTGTGTGACGGGTTTTTTTCAAGATAGGGTCTCTTGAAAAAACCTAGCTGGCTTCGAACCACAATCCTCCTGATCTCTGCCTCCTGAGTAGCTAGGATTACAGGTGTGCGCCACTAGCGCCCAGCTTTGAGTACATTTTATATGTCCAGACACTAGGGATGCTGCAGTAAAAAAGACAGGAAAGATGTCTTCACTCACAAAATTTTCATTCCAGTAGAGGGGAACCAAACAAGTAAGATAAGGTGAGACCATACCTTATAGGGGAACTACTTTACATTGGAATATTAAAGTAGG